AAACCCATCATTCATCTCAGGAAGCCCAGAAACAGTGCTTCAATCTGACAGTAGTGTTGTTAGAAATACATTAGTATAGAAAGAGTAGTTTGGTATAGTCTTAGTAAAAGTAAGTAACTTAGGTGTGTAAGTAACTTGCCTGTGGGGTACATTATCCCCTCTTTTAAAAGTTAGTCTTATAACCTTTAACTTATTATTAGCATAATCGGTAGTCTGTTAGCCACTCCGCATCGCGCGTAAAGCGAGCACGAAGCATAGAGTGTTGCTGGACAAGAGCCTCGATTGCTCGGACAAGCTTAGGTACTGTCGTCGGTGAAGCCAATCGCAGCAAGAGCGTCTGGCTCTCCGTCTGAGCGTTGATGCAAGCTTGCTGCCAGGAGGTTAATGGGAAGGCCTCGTTCACAATTTCATTAAACCCAACTCCATCTTCTAAGAGGAACTTCGCCTTAACTGCTAAATGCGAAATGCTCTCGCACGTCGAAATGTCGCGAACGGTGAGGGAAATACCTGCAGACTGGCCCTTGGCCCGCAGCTGCATAGCCGTGATCGAATCCCCTCTGAGGTCGAGAAATGATCGGTTCATGTTAATACTTGGCAGCCCAAGTACACCCGCGAGAATGTCGTGAAGGCGCTTCTGCGGGGTGGTTGCTGGCGCGCCATCCTCCTCTGCATCTCCTCCGACAATTGATTCGTAAACCCGCTTATCCATCTCTGTAAGCCATTTTGTCGTCGTAACCCTATCCATCTTGTTGTTCAGTGTCAACGGAAGCGCGCGGGTAACAACCCACACCGCAGGCACCATATATTCAGGAACCTTTGTGGCGAGATGGTTGCGTACACCGGAGATCTGGACATCCGCCATGCCCTTGTTGAGGTCAGAAACTAGCGCGAGTTGAGTTTCTGGGGTAAGGGACTGTGCCAGAGACTCCAAAGAGAGTACAGCAATCAGCATCTTCTGAAGGTATCTAGACTTGGGTAGAAGAACAACGGCATGCTTGACTTACGAGTCAGCGACAAGGTGGTGCTTAATTTCACTAAGCTCGATACGTTGGCCGTGGTGCTTGACTTGGAAGTCCTTCCTGCTGACATAACAAATTTCTCCTTCAGAGCTGTATCTTCAGAGATCACCGGTTTTGTAGATGTGACGAGTCTTTCCGGACCCTTGAGCCTAGAGTAGGTCAAGGATGAATGCTGCGTCGGTCTTGGCCTTGTTGTTCAGATATCCGCGAGACACCATTCTTCCTTCAATCACCAGCTCGCCAACAGCGCCAATTGGTGTGAGCTTTTTGTGATCCTCGGCGTCGACGATCCACATGTGGCATCTAGAGGGCCGACCAAGATTGGCGGGATTGCTCTTAAGGGTAAGAGGAACAGCGTCCACGCAATGGATAATGCACTTGGTCATTCTGTAACTAATGATGAGATCCACCATAGGAGCCCATCGCTGAACGTTGTCCTGAGTAAGCAACTCTCCACCAAGGATAAGTCTTTTGAGGCTAGGCACAGTCTTGGGGTCGAGCATGCCAGCGACAGTTGGTATCAAGAACCCATAGTTGCAGTTCATCCGGTTGATCACACCAGCCAGATCGTTGATGCGTTCATCCTCTGATGGGACACAGATGCATCCTCCACGCTAGAGAGTGGTGAAGATATCAGTGACGGACACATCGAAAGTATAAGCTGCAAACTGCAAAAGCTGCAAACTGCAAAAGCTGGGTATGGGGGCTGACCTTACGGTTCGTTCCGTGAGCCCTAGAGCTGGTGCAGAGTGAGCCATGCTCAACCACCACACCCTTAGGTTTACCTGTGCTGCCAGATGTGAACAAGACGAAGGCAGGGTTGGATGGAGAAACCTCAGGAAGTGGGGTACACGAAGTGAAGGAATCTAGGAAAGGTTGGTCGATGACAATAGCCTCAGTGACTCCATCGAACTTAGAGGCATGGATGTTGTCAGTGAGAACAATGCTGGCGCCGGTCTGTTCAATGATTTCGCTCATGCGAGCAATTGGAGAGTTCCTGCCGAGATGGACGCAAGCACCTCCCGCCTTGAGAGTAGCCATCATAGCGACAATCGTGAACATGGATTTATCGAAGCACATTGGGACAAGGTATTCAGGCTTAACTCCCTTCTCAACGAGGAATGAAGCTAGCTTGTCGGTGAGCTGATCAAGCTGCTTGTACGGAAGCAAGCCATCCCAGGAAGTAACAGCGTGAGCATCAGAGCGGAGCTTGACTTGCTGCCGGAAGATGTTGTGCACGCAATTTTCGACGAGTTGTATGTCGACTCGGTTGTTCCACTTAACCATTTGCCTTCGTGTCTTTGGCACACTGGATCCTCTTCAGCAAAATCGGACCCTCCCACTCCTCCCTGCTCCACTCCACATCTTCCCACGTTGGCCGCTCACCGGGCGTCCTCCCGTGCTATTTGTAAATGATGTCGATTGAAGCTTCAAATGTCCGAAGTAGTGATTGAATCTCGATCGTGGCTCCAGTTGCAAGCAGCCACGCTACCTGCAGAATACTAGAACACATATCTCTTCTTATCCTGCCCCGCAAGCCGGATGGATGCCTGCCAATCAAAAAGAGCAGCATCCCACGCATCTCTGCTCGAGAAGCAGGTTAAAGGCTGACACCGTGTTGACAGCTGCAATTCACGTGCTTTTGAAGGAGGCGGCCTCAAAAGCAATAATAGGCTGATGGTAGCCGGAGTGCGCACAATTTGTGTAGCATGCGGCTCGGGATACCGATCTAGTTCCTTGTCATCGGCGCGCATTGCTTTTTACCGGTGCAAGCGAGAGGGTTTGAAGGAGCATGAAATACGTTGCTTTTTGGTGAGGGCATGTCCTAATGTGGGTGACAAGCACCTCCTTTGAGATGGTGAGGCCTAGAAAAGGGAGCCTCTCTGACATTTACGATATGAAAGATTAAGTCAGATGGCGTGAGAAAGAATAACCGATAAGGACGGGGCAGGCGCAGAATCAATAGTTTGATCATCAAAGCGTGCTGCAGGAGCCTGGGATTATGAACACCGTCGCTGCGCCCACTTCAATCAAGTGGATGCAACCACGGCGGGGCTTTCCTTTTTAGACTAACAGAGGTGAACCCCGTCGTTGAAGATTTGTTGAGCGACGTCAGACAATGCCAGAGGTTATTGTTTAATATCGAACGCATCATGAATATTGGAGAGAGCTAAGATGCAGGTGCAGAGAGCAGGGAGAATGCCACAGACCTGGATTGGGGGCTCGTGAGGTGGTCTCCTGGGCTGGAGCCCGACCAAATTCCCCAAACTCCCCAGCCCCAGTTTCCAGGCGTTTCAGATTCCCAGGACCTGGTCTGACTGGATGCAATGGCCCCCCTCCAAGCAGCATTGGAAAGTCGTTGTTTCGTCATCACGATCGCAACGTGATCCTCGCAGCTAGTGAAAGGGCGGGAGCGAATGAAATTATGCGAAAACGGCTCCATCTCGCCATCGACTATGCCGAAGGCGAGAACGAAGAGAAAGTGTGATGGTGGCGTCGTTGCATATTTGAGATTCTAACTTGCGAAATCTGGTGGGCGAGAGCTTGAGGCTCGACGGCAGAAGCGCGGCCAGCACGCTCTCGTATTGAAGGAAGCCTGTCCTGTCAGCCCTGTCAAATCACCCGGTGGATCGGGATTGGGTTCACGAATTTAGGCTGGAAGATATTGTGAGGTTCAGGAGGGGATAGAGGATGTGGAGATGAGGTGGTCAGAGGGAGGGGTGATGGGCACCATCCATGGATCGGTGAGTGTAAGCCGTGTGGAGGGAACGCGCAGCACGAACAAGCAACGGAAGCGACATTGCAGGAAATCTCGTCTCAACTCACCCAATCGCGCCTCCGCCATTATGAAAAGAAGCTGAAAAGCCACCAATCCGGATTTCCTATTCGTCCACCTTTCCTAAATGCATCCGCTTCACGGCCAGAACGTTCTAAGCAAGCCCCAAATTTAGACATTCCCCAGGTGAGATGCAAGCGGCTACAATTTTATTAGGTTTTTGTTTTGAACAGCGCAAGCGATCTGATATGATTGATAAAATGTTGGCGGCTGTTCTTCGAGGTTACTTTTGACGTTGTGTAACGTGTAAATTGTTATCTTGAACCGAGCAGTGAGCACAGTGAGTTCGGGGGTCATCGCTTGCTCTGTGTTAGGAAAAGATCCCACGAGAAATGGACTGGAAAAGGTAATCGCTATTTAAGGCATCTGCAAGTATTCCCCATTGTACAGACTTAGTTATAATGTGTTTGAATGCGAAAGCGAAAGAATGCCCGAAAGCCATCCAGCCCAGCACGAACATGTATTGGATTGTAAAAGCCATCAAGGCCAAAAAAGACATAAAAATCCAAGAAACCGGCCCAGCGAATCGGCACCCGTACCGCGCGCTTCAGCCAATCCAAAGGGCATTAAAATATAGCTTCTTATTCCTAGGGATCCTAGCCCAACGGTCTCAACCCTTTAGGTTTGAGGAACAAAGGTTTGCGAAGCCCCGAGAAAAAGCAACGAAGGTACAGTCGCCAGCGAGTCCGACCGGCTCGGCTATCTGCTGTCAAGCCCACGACATTGGTATTTAGAATTTGGAAAGCTGGGGCTGGGGCTATGTGGGGACGGGGTCATTCATGCGGCGCTGAGTGAGCGAGTGGAAGCACGGGGCTAGGATGCATTGATGCATTGATGATGAGCGGTGAAGCGGTTCTTGGGTTTCTTAGAGTTGGGTTTGGGGAATGCGAATGGAACGAACTGGAGTAATGACTTGCGCGCAACGTGTTCAGCTGAGATGTGCAACCTGGTTGTTGGGCCTGAAGGATCTGCACTTTAGGGAGATCGGAGGCGATGATTCGAGTCGTGAAATTCATGCACTGTCATGGAGATCGGAGTTCGGGATGCCTGGCAGCTGACCAGACTGTATGGGCTGAGAGGCCGATACTTGCAAGATGATCTCTAGTAGGGTGAATGCATGTGGGATTGTCCATGAATGTTGCTGAAGTTTCCTGGTGCGATGTCGGATCGGATGAAGGTCGCGATATCTCCACCTGCATTAGGGAACCGAGTCCCAGGGCCGCACAAAAACAAACCTTCAACCGCATCCTTCTTCGCTCGCAAAACGCATCTTCATCCGGCAGATTATTGTCCCACGAACTGCTCCCGCCGCTATGCCCGCTGATGCGTGTGGCCTGTGTGTTTTTCTCCGCTGAGATCTCGATCCCAAAAGCAACATCGCATGTGTTGCTAGAAAGTCGATAATTGGATAATTGGGCATAAAGCCAGCCTCGAATTCTCCAACCAAAGACTAGCACCGCACGAGCGCCGCGGGCAACAAGTGGAACCGCCAGCTCCACTTTCCACGCTTTGAGCCCGCTTCTCGTGAAACAAATCACGCCATTTTTACCTTGCGCGTCGAGGAAAATCGTACGAGAAACACATATCTTCGCGCTGCTGCGTCCCTCAAGTGCATGCAGTGGAACAGTAGTCGTCGGATATCAGCGCACAGTTTCCTTTCATTCTGATGCGAGGAGCTGCGATGAGATATTACGTGCGGGCGATCACGACCGACTGGGATATAGGCTGCAAGTGTCGTCATGGAGAAGGTGCGTTCCCAGGCCCACAGTGCTGGGAATGTCAGTTTTGTGTAAGGTTGTAGAGAAATTCTGGATTGGGGGTGAAGAAGCGACTCGGGCGCGCAAGTGTGGAACTGACGTTTCGTTTGGGGTGCGCATAGCGCTGTACCGCCGTCTAGGTATGGCTCGGTTATGGCTGAGCGTAGTACAAAAGTGAGTCGATATTCCTGAGGTTAGGCTGAGCGGTCGACGGTTGAGAGCGATCGGGCGCAAAGATTGATGGCTGGCTGGACAATCGAGTGTGCGAGCTGAGGTAGGTTAGCGACATTTTAGTAAGACCTGAGGACGCGAATGAATAAGCACGATCATAGAGAAAGGGGGCACAATGATGTGATCCAAGAGAAAATCTCTGCTTCCGTAAGAGGGAGGCAGGTCCAGATGGTATTCCTGTGCGATAACTGGTAGGTAATGTTGCTGATACTTTTCAGAAGGCACCCACAAGGCTTGCTGAACCAAGTCCAAATCAATCCCACATTCGCTTGCTTGCTTGCTCGCACAAATTTCTCGAATTCCAAGCATATACCCTAAAACGTTCCTGGTTGTAACAATGGTCTGATGAAGTGAAGTTGACTGAAGACAAGACTATATGCTCGCTGTACTACGTCATTACTCGTCGTCTCAAGTCATGATTGGTGACGCCTAAGCATGTTAAGTAGCCTCAGCACCAGAGGTGGGCAGATCGTCGTCGACTGCAAGAGCCCTAAGCTTTGCCTCGACGGCTCGGACGATTTCCGGGTTGAATTGTCGTTCTTGTTTGACTCTCTTCAGTCTAGCCATAATGTTAGCTGTGAATCATGTAGGTTGGAGAGTGGACTAACGGTTTCCTGGTACACTTCTCGCACCTTTCGTGGCCACATCCAGGACACTGCGGAGAACCATCTAGGAATAGACTCTGACATTCTTCGCACTCCCATCGAACCCGTGTCCTCGGCTTCCGCCATATTCTGCGTGCCATTTCCAGCTCACGCTCGACTTCAGTCTCACTGTTCGGTTCCGCATCTCCGGGATAGCCGTTGGGCCATTTTGATAGCTTAGCTGGCTCTCTTGGACATTTGGTGCAGCGGATATGGCGACAGTTCTCACAGAGGGTAGCTGTCGGGGGGACAAAGAGGTTTTCACACTTATGACAAGTGCGCCTGACTCGCTGCTTCACGGGCTGGTAGACTAGCTCGCCTCCGGTTTTCGAGGTCACGGTCAGAAGTTTTTTCTTCTTAGGTCGCTCGGCGCCCTCCTTTGCCTTGCCCTTCTCTCCAGGGGCTTTCTTCTTGGGATAGCGAGGGCACTTCTTGCAGCGCCTGTGCTCACAGCTAGTGCAGATCTTGTCTGCCCCATAGGTAGTTCCGCAGCGGTGGCAGGAACGGTGAACCCGCATGCGAATTGGTTTCTCTACACGCTGCACACTGACAGGAAGGGCTGGTGCAGCAATCCATTCATGCGACTCAAGTGTCAATCCATACTTCGCAAACAGAGCTCGGGCTCGTTCGTGTTGAAGAGCGCTGCGATTGAGTTGCTGCGTGATAGGCTCCGAGGGTGTGACAGCTGCCGCTGCGGGAGCTGTAGCGAGACTATATACCAGTCAGCTTGAATATACAAGTTGCCCAATGCGGAACTTACGCAGCGGTGGTCTCTTCCTTCTTGGGCTCGACCTTGGTAGTAGGTGTGGAAGGCATGGCTGGGGTCGATGATGCACTGCTCTTGCTCGACTTGTCCCTCTTAAAAACACTGCTCATCCGCTTCACGTACTTTCCCAGGCTTCTACGTCGGTCTTCCTGGCTGACCGACGAGCCTGCAGCCGGAGTAGACATGTTCGCGGCGTTAAATCGAGTTCAGTTTTTCCTGGGTACCGGAAGCAAGAGATGGACTGGCGGACGGTATAAACAGCAAATAGGTGGTTCCAAGAATATCTCGAGGGATGCGGATATGGATAGATCAACAGTCAGACATGCAGGCGGTCAAAAATATCTCCGGAACTGGGTGCTGGTACGGGCTGAGACAGCGACGAAACCTCGGGACGACCGACAGTGTGGTAAAATGCAGACTGACAGACGCAATTAGGCTCGACAAGTGAGGTCCAATGCTTTTCAATGCCTTGGGGCGACGCAGCTGGACACTGTCGTCGTCGTGGGGTGGCCAGGCGAAGTGAAGGGCGTGAGCGGCGGGTAGCAAGAGTTATGTACGGTGGGTGGGAATCAGGCCATGCACTGGTGCTTAAGCAGCCTCCCAGCACAGTGGATGCGTCTCCGAACCACCACGCGCAAGCGTCGCTAAGCAGGACAAGACGGCCCGTTCGTCACAAGCTGGGAGGCCGTGGCCAGCGGAGGGACGTCGGGTTTTTCTGCGGCATGCCATGGGGCACTCCAGCAAGCATGTTCCCCGGACACACAGCGACGGCCTGAGTTTTCTTGCACCCACAGGGCGGCAGCAACCAGCTTTCCAGTTATCCAGTTATGCACAGCGAGGAATGGCACACGGACGAAGATGCAGGGAGGGCGGGAAAAAGATGCGCAAGGACCAACCTCTTTCTTGCCAGAGAAGCTAGTTGCAGGCCAGGCTCTCGTTGACGGCTGTCCCGGCGGTGTGGATGGGCGCGCGGAGGACGAGCCATTCGTGGCATGGGCAGCCTGTGAAGCGCGCAAATGAACAGGCCTTCCCCATCCGAACTGCCTCAGGCTGCCTGTGCGCTGGGTCATCCTGAGTTTGGAGCCATGGACCCGTTGGCGCCGACGAGCAGCATCTGCTTGAAACCTTCAACACCATGGCCACCTGAACGCGACCCAGCGCTGCGCTTCACAACCCCCTATGCATCACACAGCCTCGCGCGCTGCTGCTGCTCTTGCTGCAGGTCGCTCGTCGCCCCTCCGCCAGCCCCGACGTCTTTTCCCAGCAAATAGGGCGGTTCGCGGATCGCGGACCCTACTAACTCCGCCTCCAAATTGACTTCAATCTATGCTGCAGCACCTGCAGACCACACCGAACACGGTGCATGCAATACTTGCCCGCGCAATCCCCACTCGCGCGTTGCACGACAACAGCCGACAGGGAGACTCCAATTCTGCTCCGCCTTCCAGAAGACCTGTCCTGCCTGTCAAACGAGGATAACCCGGCCTGGTTCACTCCAGCGAACCCGACTTTTCTTCGCCTCTACGCGCGACACAGGGTTGTGTTGGCACCCGCACAACTGTATCCTGACTCCCAAGCCCATCTCACGCCTTAAAAACACCATTATTCGGCTGATCAATACCACTTCCAGCCCTGCGCAAGTGAAGATGCCAGAGCTTCGCTGTCCGCTGATGCCTGCCATAGGAGAGACCCCCGTGACTGAATTTGATCTCCGCATTCATTTTCCAAATCACATTTCTCTTGCCACTGCATATCAACATTTGTTGCAGAGCCCTTTATGCAGCTGTACGCGTAAGTTTCATCTCGTCCATTGTCGAACCCGACAGCGCACAAAGCGAGATCCAATGCTTTCCTCAGAATCCTATCCCATGGTGGTCGGGCTCCCAAATCTGTCATCGGCGGCTCCGCCCACCTGGGCGAGCTGCAGGCAGGGTCCCTTGTCTCTGCCAGTGTTACCCAATGATGTAGCAGACAAAAGACAAAATCCTGTGCTTCCCTTCTGCCTGGTCCTTTTCCATGGATTAAAGCAATCATTTGCGGGACGCGGCCCCAGATGACGATGGTTGCTTCTTCGTGACTGGAGACCAACTTCTCCCTTATGGAATTGGTATCCGACCCCTCAGTTGACGATAGGTTTGCACTCCTGTTGTCTCAACTTCCCGCCGGCAGAACTCAGCCAGGAGCATGATTCGTTCCACCCCAAATTTGACGGTCTACAAACCACACCAGAGCAACACAACTGCAATATAAGGCGGAGTATATAGCTCTTTCAAGCTTTTAAGAAGCACTGCAACCGTTCGATACAACGTCGAATCGGTATTGTATCTCTGGCCCCAGGACTTTCTCGCAAGGATGAGAGATTGCTGCAATCTCAAACATTTAGGATGTCCGTCTCAGGCTACCTTGTGGCTGGTGTTTCTCAAACTCACCCTATTCAACGCCACTCATACATCGCGACGGGCTTGCATCTTCATCGTGAGGCCAATAACTTTCCTTGACTACAACCACGCGTGAATGTCGCTCGTAGACTCATCCTCGAACGACAAACCATATATATCGGCCATGTTATCTGCCATCAAGGCGAGTACTCTGACGCACATTGCTCAATCTGCTAGGCCTAGCTGCTGGATTGCATGTTATAGGTCCCATCAGGTCTTCTCGTCATCATGAGGCGGAGCATTACTGTCTTCAGGATCCGAATATTGAGGCACGAGCAAACGTGAAACAGCCAACAAACTTTATACCACGCAATCTTCGGCAACAGTGCGTTCGACAAACTCCCCATTTCTATTTTCATTTAACCTATTTCTCATGAAGCGAAAGTCAATCGAGTTGCTCGACGTGTCTCTGCTGCGAGTTTCATGGCAATTGAATGCCGAACCCTGCCGTGACGAGCAACGGGAAAATCAAACAAGGCCCCTGCTTCGATCAAACACGCATCCCCACTCCAGTCCGCGAGTCATCCAGCAACCCTGAAAGCCCAGAACAGGCTGCTCGCCTCAGCAAAATGCTCCGTGGATCGCCAGACCCCAAAAGTCAGAATCCTGGATGTTTGCAGGTTGGCGGCGCAGCGAATGCGAGGTCGTGCAGTTGTGTTTCAGTCTGAGGGGCGTAATTCGTTAATAGGCCTCCTGGAGCGTATCGTCCGCCATTTAGCGGAGGCCACTTTTGGCTTCAACAGAGTCATCTTCACGACTCAGATGCTAATCCCCCCTCAAGCCTCACCAGGCAATAATCCGCTTGTCCGTGACGATAACCGTTTGCAAAACGCCAGCCCCACTGTCACCCGCGCCACTTGCCTTCGTCCAGTACCAAAGAAGAAGGTTATGCAGGGGTTTCTTGGACCTTGCGGAGCCTGTTTCGTGGGATTTGCCTTCATAACTCTGAAACAGGTATAAATCGTCCCTGTGCTGGGGATATACTCCGAATCCGATATCACTACCTCGCGGATCTTTCACCATATGTAGCCCAGGTGTCGGGAATACAAGCAAATTAAGCCCCAACTGTGCAAACTCCGGATCGGCTTCCGGAGCGTCACGGACCGCGTCCTTCTCGTTCAAGATTCGTGCGAGCCTTCATCCTCGCTGAAACCCACGTTGAGTTGCGGCCCGCTCAGGAACAATCTCTCTTCCGAGGAGCAAACTGAGTGGACGCTACTACCGATAGACTTTCACCAGAAACTAGACTTGCTTGGAGAGCATTGAGCCTTTTAGCTCATTGCTTTAAAGTTCAAGCAGCGCGTTTGCAGACTCGGTTAACCATTGTCACCAACGCCTCCTGCATAGTCAGCCACGTTTCTGGTTTGGTTAGCATTCCCTTTGCGTGAGTAGGAAACCTGGAAGTTGGGGCTTGACGCTACGTGAGGAGAAGATAACTGATGGCCACCTAGCTAACACCACATGTTGATTAACTCCGCTTCTGGATTCCCGGGATCCATATATTTCCAATAATATGTCGCTATGTCTCGTCACTGCAGGTGTCACCTCCATTCGGAACAGTTGCCACCTCTCCTGCGACTTCCTCCGCAGGCTACGAATTTCTGATGCAGCCTTGCAGGGACACCACTTCGAAGGGGGCCTACTCATGCGGCAATAGCACAACCGCGACAGCCGTTACTTTATGATAGTCAGTAACACCAGAGTCGAAGGTTCACATGAGAGAAGACTTTAGCGTCTTTAACTACACTGAGCGTTCCGCTTCGTACTCTTACTGGATGGCTTCATCTTAGATTCTCTACCGAAGACCTCAGCATGTTCTTTCTATTCTTCCCTAATTTGAATAATCCCTACCTCCGCAGGGTTCTTCTCTACTCCTTACGTCATAGCTATAGCCTTTCGTCGTCTTTCATATTTTCACCTGTTGTTCTGGTCCCTCCGAATTCTGTACTTTTCACTCATAAGTTATCGTACTCTTATTATTCACTCTCGTTGCCGACGGTCCAATTAGCCATTCAATTTAAAGCACTCTGTCTGTTTGACCCCGTTGCAGTGGTTCACTGCAATTTCTTCTCGTTTCTTTATAGTTTACCAATCACTGGCAGAAAACGGAGTATGATCGAAATCATCCTTTGTCGGCATGCACCATCAACGCCCTCACGATCGCAGAAGGAATCGCTGGCTCCCTTCGCAAACCTCTCTCTCGCCCATGGAACATGTCCCTATCTCTCATCTCGATGCTCAACCTCCTATTCTCCCTCCCCAAACTTCGGGGCCGACACATCTAGAAGTTAGCTTTTCACAATGCACATACCCCACACCGAGCGAAAAAGCAAAGCAAAATGCTTCACCCTCGCACGGGAGGAACCGCTCTCAAGCCCCAAACGGCGACATGCATCCGTATTGTGCGGCTGTGTATCGTGCATGTGGGATATTTGCAGATATCTCGCATTTATGTCGGGTAACGTAATTATCGGTACGTCAGTGATGCCGAGTCTTGATTATTTTGATAAGGAATGTGTTTAAGAAGCAACTTTGGTGATTTAAGATTAACTCTACCCACGTGAGAGGTCTTTGTGCGTAGAAGACGGTTTTTGGCGTTCCTGAGCTGAGGACTTTGAGGACGGGTGTTCCGTGTGCCACGAGAGTGGGTAAGGATCTGACTTGGGGATCTCCTCGATACCTCTTTGGTCCGGCGGCTCGAGCTTTGATATCTTTCGCTCTATCTTTATCATCTCCTTCCTGTTCCTAGATATCATAACCTTCATGTTATTAACTAGAATCTCTTGCCCCACTGATCAAAGACACCTGGGGCACAGAAACACGATTCCCAGACCCCAGCTCAGCAGGTTTAGAAACCGCCATCTTTCTCAACAGCTCGGGGCCATTCTTATCAGCAAGCGGTAGGCGCTGTTGCACCGGGGGCGAAGACTTACACCTCGCTTCGCCGATATTCTTCTCTTAATATTCACGCCCACCCTCAATCCCCAACCTTCCGCAGTTTTCAGCATTCCAATTTCGCTATTCCGCAAAATACATTCATTACAAACCTTATATCGTAGACAGCTAATAATCGAAACAAACTAGAAACTTTTCCGTCCATTCCGTTCGTCTTCCAGCTTCCGTGACAGGCGTCCGAACCATCTGCACTTTGTCGATCTCTCCTCTTCTCACGCATCAACTCAGCACCATGCCGTCAGTTCTTCACACGTAACTAGCCGACGGTGATCGGAGCTTACTCCATCCCATCCCGTTGCACCTTCACCCCTTTCGAAGACAAAAAGAACATTGATGCTGATCAGAATCACACCACTTCCGCATCTCGTTTCACTATGATCAAACCCAATTTAAGAATTTAGAAACACTAAAATTGAAACCCGCTCCATTCTCTCCATTCGTTAATATATGGGTCGATCGGGGTTCAGAATTGGGAGTAAGTTGGGCGAGATCGTCGTCGTACTCTAGACTTGGAGGGTGGGAGCGGAGCGGGGCGGGGTTCAGTGATCGACAGGGGCACATGGGTGCATGGTTTCGCGCCTGTGGCGATTAAGGGCTGCTGAGATTTTTGGCGTAGCGTCGTCATTGGTGGGTTTGATATGAATATCTGGAGAGAGAAGGATCATGAGGAAAGGCTACGGAACTGTTTAGTGGGTACGCGTAGATTTCAATTATGTCCCGCAGATTCTGACTTCACACTACGAATTGTTGAAAATTTGGACACAAGAGCGGCCAATTCACCATTGCGAGACTGTCAGCTTATTAGCCTCGTATTTTCCTTTTCCCCCAGCAGTCATCCAAAGAGCCCCAAAGCTTTGAACGAACAGAAAAGTATAAAACTCCCACAGCATAACTAAGCTCTCTATGAACCAAGAACTTCCTCTTGCTCGAGAAAAAATACCCTTGGATGTTTTCGGAGTCGCTTTGCCTTGTATTTGAATTGTAGCTTCCAACACCTTCCTCCATATTTGAGAGCAAGAGAGGTGGATGACGGGATATACTGTCTATGGATTCGGAAACCTCGCGTCGAATATACTACGTGTTTTTCGCAAACTGGGACCACCGGCAACTTCGAATTTTCAGTCTGAGAGTTTGAAGTCCTGAATTAATAATTCGAAACGCTTCTAATTAGAAAATGAGTTTATCCTAAGATGTGGGAATGTTTGACCTGAGCCATAATACGTACAATTGCTATATCCAGTGATAATTCGACTCATTAAGACGCGGTGCACTCTCCATACCAACTCCAATCCCACATGAGAGCCCCATGCATGCCTGCTAATGCACTTATTACTATTCCTCTCCACTTTGGACAGATTTCAAAACCTGGTTAGTGAAACCTAATAACACCTAGCTGGCTTCTTCCCCGTCTTCTGGGTAAGTTCTCACGACTCCAGTGTATTTCCCAGCATCCTGCAGTACATGCTGCACAGACCTAGCCAGTCCGAACGCCACATCATGCACGCCTTACCTGCTAATGTGGGAAGCGTTTCAGTACGCGTAAACCCCTTCCAGTGGTGAGGGCTATTGAATATGTCAAGGAATCCCTTCTAAATCCGTCGTCGAACTGGAGTTTGGAACGTACTCGCCCTGTCGGCGTGGTCAGCGTGTCTCTCCCTCCCGGCACGCAAGGAAGCAAGCAACTCCTGGCTGTTCAACAATTTCTTCACTGCTTGGAGATTTGTCAGAATAGGTCTCACATTTTAACCTTCGGAATCTAGATCCAGTCCCCAGGTTGCTGGCTCCTTTCACGAGCATCCATCCCAGCTCGCTCGTACTGTTCTTACTTTCTGTTGGCGGTGACTGCGTCATTCTTATCTTAGCCTTTAAATGCCGCTATATAATAGTAAGATCAAGCAAGACTTGAAAAATGCCGCGAAGCCAAATAGCCAGCCACTAAGGCAAAAGGCACGCCTGATTTGGCCATGCCAGAGCAGAGAGGCATGTTGGGAGGGCAGAATAGCAGACGTGAAGAGAAGAGCAGGAGGGTAGAAAATTGCCTCCCTGCTTCCAGCTCTGTCCCATTTCTGCTGCGTCGTAAATTGCTAAAATATGGATCACTAAAGAAGCGATTATGGATTCCCTAGGGACCATATCCCATGATTCTTTACGATCTTCTTGGAAAGACTCGGAGACTCCTAGGCCGGCCTGCTTACACGCCCGTCATCAATCAATCCTTGGGCAAGAATGACCATTCCTCTAAGCCTCCCGGGACTTGAACAGTGCAACAAAGCAGATGCATATACCTGCCTAGCAGGCGAGGACGAGGACACCCCTACTCTACCAATTCAATCTCCAGCTGGAATTTATGCATTCAAAACGCCACACAGAGAAGAAGAGTCATCCACCCACTTACTCACTTAGCCTGATGGCGAGAATTAAGATGAGAGAGACGGTACTAACTCATCGAAGCGTGTCCCCAATTTTTTTTCCAAGATGTAACTACCTTGATAGCAGTTCACTAAGCCGAGAGGGTTATGGGCAACCACTCGCTGCTCCGACGTCCCAGTAACGCATACCATACCATACCCATGTCCATCTCCTAACGCACCGTACTAATGCAAATGCCAAAGAAATCCTTCAGCTCGCAAGCAATGTTGCCGCGACTGCCGAATTAATCCCCCCACTCATCCATATGAGAGCTCTAGTAAAAAGAGGGTATACCGCCCAACCAACCACGTGGTGTTCGCAAGCAAGCTAGCAAATATCCGTCTGTGCGAAACAGGAAAAAAGCCATATGCGGGGGTGTATAGTGTAGTGTTGCGTAGATGCAGACGGAGTGATGGATGCTTGCTGGACGCAGTGAAAAGACATACTCCAGACCGTGTGCCATAGAAAAATCCAAGCCGTAACCCAGCTCCAGAATGCAAGACGTGAGTGCAAATGGGAATGCAAAAGGTGGAGAGAAAACACGACAACTCGGACTCCATATGGTCGCCAACACGTTTCTCTTCCCTCACCTTGCCCGTTCATTGTTCATGCTCCACCATGACGCCCAACCCATCTAAGATGATTTGGGTTTGCGATTCAAGACAATGATCCCTCGTCCCCAAACGCAGCTAACAACGGATCATCCTCTATATTCCAGATCTTCTTCTCAACATCGCCGACATCACCTCCTCCATACATCTTCATCCTCTTCGCGGGACCGAAACTTGCACCCGCAGCCATATCCGCATTTTCGCCCAGCGGTCGCTTCTTGCTCGCATCGAGGTTCATGGCGCTCGGAATAAGACTAGACACATTCGTGCTAGATTGTGGGAACATTGGAGTCGATACGCCGGACTCACCAGGTGCTGGGGTCAGGAAACTGGTGTCTGTCATTGCAGGCGGGGAGTCTACATCGTCGTCGGCGATTGGGGAGAAGCGACCGTTCTGCCATGAATATTGCGCTGGCTGTAGCCGCTCTTGTTGCGGTGGGAGATTCATACCAACCTTGGCCTGTTCTTCTTTCTTCTTCTCGCGCTCATCCTGTTCTTTCTCATACGCACGATGCTCCTCCTCCCGCTGCTTCACATGCTCTTCATATTGCTCTTGATAGCTCTGCTCCATACTCTCCATCCACTCTCTACCCTTCCTGTCCGTTTGCGCATACTCTACGCAATTCGGGCACTTGATGTAAAACCCCTGACTAGATGGTCCCTCCCCCAGCATCTCAAACTCAGGTAAGTTTTCTCCGATAAGTTCTTCTTTACCGCAATCCAGGCAGTCTTCGCAATACCCGTCTTTGCACCAACGACAGCGATAGATCAAACCGCCTGCATCCGAAGTCTTCTTCCCGCAATCTAAGCACTCGTGTTGTGGGCAGTAGAAACCATTCCAGCTCTGGACTTTGGTTTGGAAGTCTTTTTCGAGGCAATCGTGGTGGTAGGATCGTGGGCAGCCTTTGCATGGGATGAGTTCGTCGTTCTTGCCATTCGGTTCTTCATAGCAGATTAGACAATGCTTCTCGTGGACAATCTTGGGTCGCTTTTCGCGCTTAACGTCTGCGAGTCGGGGGTCTTTACCAGCGAAGATTGGAACGGCTTCCCAGTTGTTGCAGTTGAGTGACTCTTTGTTGATAGCGAACCCGTCGATCATGACGGTCGTATTCTTGCCTTTGCGTCTGTCCTCGCGCGTGATTTCGGTCGGGAGGATGTTCGCTGAGGAAGTGCCGAAGTAGTCGTTGCATTCGTATTGATACCGTTTGCCATCGAAAATAGCGCATTCTACACGTTCCATGGCTGAGAGCCATTTCTCTTCATCGAGTTCTGAAGCTGAGGCCTCAGGGTTGGCTTGTGGATCTGAGGGCTTGTCACGACACTTTTGGAGCATGGTTTCTAGATCCCACGACAACATCTCTGTGGCATCGATCTCAGGGTGCGACAGTGTCTGAGCTCCCCGCCGGACCAGTGATTTGAGCTGCGTTGTGTCCATTTGGGGTAGATCGTCTCCATTCGCCATACGTCCTTTACCCTTAGTAGACGTTTGCTCACCGTGGATGCTGCGCATAGATTCCGTGATCTTAGCTGATAGGTACAGTTTCTTTCGAATACGGCCCATCATTTGCTCTTCAACTGTTCCTTGCGTACAGAGCTTGTAGATTGTGACTTTCTTTGTCTGGCCAATCCTGTGAGCCCTGGCTTCAGCCTGCAGCGTGATTTGAGGGTTCCAATCCTCATCGAGGAAAATGACATCCTCGGCGCTGGTCAGATTGATTCCCAAACCACCAGCTCGGGTGGACAGAAGCATAACCTTGTACTCCGAATCTGAGTTGTTGAACATGCGGATGTCCAGGTTTCGTCGAGCTCGTGCGGTACTGCCATCAAGCCGAAGGTACTTAAACACTTTCCCACGCTCCCCAATGAGAGCCAATAGGTCTTCACAGCAATCAAGAGTCCGGACAAATCCAGAGAAAATCAAAACTTTCTTTCCCTTGTTGAAGATGGTGTCCCTGAGCAATTTCTCCAAGAGGATAAACTTACCGGAAGCGCGAATGACGTGGTCTCCGAGATAGTACGGCTCCGGGGCAGCGTTAGGTAGCAAGTAGGGATGAGAGCAGCACTTACGAAGCTGCATGATAAGGTTCATAAGCTTCTGCCAAGCGCCTCGATTACTGGTGTCGGACTGCTCTTGTACCAACGCCTGCTTCATGATGGCGACCGTCTCTTCCCATTCACGTAGCTTTTCGCCCGACTCAGCTTGCTTCTCCAATTCCTCCATCTTATTCCAGAGCTCGTCTTCATGTTTCTCCTTCCGGATGGCGTCTTGCTCTTTTCTCTGAATATTAGTGAATAGCTCATCGAGAATAGCGTCACCGACACGTGTGAGCAGACGTGTGTACCAAAATCGCTGCATCGGCGTGAGAGGCACGTACAGCAGCACCTCCTCTTTTGGCGGCAAGCCCAAGTTGACGCCGGGGCTGTTCTTCATGCGACGGAGCATGATGAGTTCGAGCAAGTGGCGCGCATCATCCATGGTCTGTTGGTTCACTTTGCCTCGGGTGAGATCGAAAGATTCTTTAAATAATATCTCCGTCGATGCCGTGAACACGTCCGGGTAGAGCCACGCAAGGAGAGCCCACATCTCCACAAGATTGTTCTGGAGAGGAGTGCCCGTGAGAATCAGTCGGTACTCTGCACTGACGCCCTTCAACGCCGTGGAAATCTGCGTCACGCTGTTCTTGATTTTATGGCCTTCATCCAGGACGGCATAGCGCCAAATGAAGGCTTGCCTGAACCAAGATGCCTCCGCCTGAAAGACTTCGTAGGTGGTGACAATGATCTTGTAGGACTTTGCGCCTGGATTCTTTGGTTTTGCAACGCCACGACCAGCTTTTCTAGAGGCTCTTCGATTTTTGGAATGGGATGTCTCGTGTCTGTACATGTCCTCGGCGCCCAGAGCGACCCGCTTGAGCCGGTTTCGCTCTTTGACGGTGCCGTGCATACGAAGGACCTTGAGACCTGGAACCCATTTCTGTGCTTCATTCACCCAGGAGTTCAAGACGCTCAGTGGGCAGACGACGAGATAAGGTCGAAGTTCTTCGGAAGACACCCGAGACTTCTTGTCTTGCTCTTCTAGATATTGGAAGAGGGAAAGGGTCTGTAGGGTTTTGCCTAACCCCATCTCATCGCCGAGAATACCCGAGAAGCCGTTGTTGTAGAGGTGCACAAGGAATGACAGGCCAGCCAATTGGTATGGCTTCATGGTCGCTGTTACCCTGGATTCTTTGTTAGATAGATAGTGGATGGGTGTGACATGTGACCCACCCTTTCGGCTGCTCGGTTAATTCTTTGTATTCAACAATGGAAGCGTCAACACCAGATTTTGAGGCAAGTTTGGAAATATAGTTATTTTGCGGGAGAAGAGGCAAGAAGAACCGCTTATTGGCGATGAAGAAGTTGTTTGCCTTTGCCTTAGACTGCAGGGCAATATCGTCTCGCAACCTATTACGGGCCGTATCTAACTTCATGCGCAGAGGCGCCTTGGGCTTAATTTCTTTGTACTGAAGTTCGTCATCCTCGTCATCATTGACAGTATCAGACTGGAGAATGGTGCCCGCCCTTTGGCGTCTGCTGCTCCTCCGCGGCTGCTCGTCCCTGCCCCATTTCCTACGCTCCATCTTGAGTTCGTTAGGCGGCAGTGTCCGAATTCTCGTAGCTGGCCTGGTTGCGATGATAGGAGTTTTAGCGAGCTCGTCTCCGCTTGATTGGGGGGACGACGGTGAGCACAATTTTTTGGCGGAGGTGTCAGAGAGAGCGGGGACGCTGAGTAATGATCCCATCTTTGGAGTCGGAGCAGTGGTGAGGTAGGGCGTGTCTGGTGTGAACTCACGTTTGCTCCTGCCTTCAGTCACTGTTGGGGTTGGAGTGTGCTGGTTTGGGACAACGGCGGAGAGTTTCCTGGCTTTTGTGACGGATGTTGCCGAGGATCGCGATCCAAACTTCGCGAGGAGATCCTCGAGTCCTCCACGTTTGTGCTTCTGGGGTGTAGTCGATAGCGAGCCCGGTGTGATTCGCGACCGGTCCATGGCAGTGCAGATGGGTGATATAGAGGAGAGCGAGAGAGAAGAGGGGAGGGGGAATGTACAGTGATTAATAGAGATGGGACTACTAAAGAGGGAGGGCGGCGTCTAGTGAATACCCCATGGAGGTGAGGGGCACGTGAAAAGGCGCGTGGTGAGGGCCAATTCTCAGCAGTGAACTTTCGCGCAGAGGGCGCGTCGAGACCTAGATATGGCAGCTTTCAGGTGAAAATGTCAAAAGACGAGTCGTACGCAATAAATAGAAGAGAGTGAGCGGAATCTGCTTATATAAAAGCCCCGACTACGGCTTCACGCAGGTTTACCACCCTCTCTCGTAAGGAGCATTCTCTCCTTCACATCCTGATGGCACAAACGGAAGTTTTGGGAGCTTCAGCCTCAAACCTCAAGCCTCGGGGTAAGGCTAGACAAGTGTGGCCTAGCGTCGGAGAAAGGCACTCCAAACGCCGACGCCAAGCTTTAATATTGTATGCGGCTCAACAGGCTCGAACACCACAAGCAGAGCTGCCACCACACTCGACATTTACAGCAGCTACCCGGTGCAGTCGGCCAGCCCCTCTACCCACAATGGCGCAGCCTATGCTCACTCCATTCTGGCCCCTCCATGTCGGACGGTCGGATGGCAAAGGACAGGTCACTGTCAAAGGCATCAAGGTCAACAACGGCCCAGACCCCAAACAGCTCGATCGAACCCCCAACCAGGCCGGACAATGCGACTACTTCCGCGAAATCGACCGGGATGAACCCAAGCACATGGATTGGCGGAGGAAACTAGGAGGCATGCTCCTGAGAGAAATTGGTGGTGCTGATTATGCAGGTTCGCATCAGGATCACTGAGGACTTCCATGCATCTAACATGTTCAGATCGCGTCAATAACACTATACTTTGGAATCTCCCCGAAGGCTACCGACTATACGAACATATAAAATCAAAGGCTGACGGCCAAGTGAAGGCGGTCAAAAACCACTCTGGCGGTGGCCACGATCGACAAGACGCATATCTCTACGGTTACCCTCGAGGCCCAAAGAAGCGCTTCAGAAGCCCCGCAGACTTCTTCCCGCACCTCCTCTGGCTATCTACCGACGAATCGGGCGACTACGATAACTGCACATGCAAGCTATGTTCTCCATACCAGCCAGAGGATGACAAGCCAGCCAAGCAAGATGTCAAAGCTATTACATCTACTCCTGGTGTCAAGAAGGAGGTGGGAAGCCCGGCCGCGACTCCACCCAGGCCTGTTAACCGTAATCCCATTGTACAAGTCCCTATCCGTGCCCCTGCCATCCCTGCCACAGGCTCGGCTCCGGTACCAATCTCTTCGAAACCCGCTATGCAGAATGCGCCTCGCATCAAGCCTCCCTCACCATTAAACTCTTCGCCTCTCCCTCAACCGCGATCCATGGATCAACAAGTGGACAGCCAATATGGCAAATTCCTCAGTCGAACAGGGGAAGTGGTATGGTTCTTTCGAAACAAAACCCGAGCCTGGGGGCTGGGACTTATCATCCAGCGTTGGATTTCAGAGGGCGGATCTAGCAAATGCACATACTCTATTCAACCGCTCTCATATCCACACAGTTCACTCGAACCAGAAATAGTGACCACGCACAATGATATCCGGCCGTGGCTCGCTTGGTCCGCTCCAGGATATACTTATCCCTATCTTCAGAATTCACTTCTTACTTATGAGCAAGTTGACTGGGATGGATTGAGGGCAGGAAACTACGGGGCAACCCCTGACAGTGTTTGCGAAGTCGACGCTTCGATCCTAGCCGCAAAGGGAATTGACTCAACCTACGTACTATTCGAGCGACTAAAAACGATCGCCAATAAAATGGGTCAAGAAGAGCGCCATTGGAACGGAATATTCTTTGGCGCCGAGAAAATCTGGAACGGCGAGCCCGTACGTCTCCGCATTGCCGGTGGCAGCGACATCATGGTCGTTACCGCCATTATCGAACGTACCGTTCCTAATCCCGCCCAATCCGGCACGACCCGTACCATCATCGAAGCCATCGGGGATATCTATGCATACGCCACACTCCCCGCGCCCGATCTCTCCTCACCCCCGGAACCCCCTCCAAACAATAACCTCCCGCTCCGTATGCGCGAAGACATGCGCTGGCGAAATAATTCGCTCCTCCCGAATACCCGCACTCTCGCGTATTGGAAGCTCATTTCCACGCAGTCTCGTCTCGATTTCAGTGATATCAAAGGTAGATGGTATGAAACCAGCATCGTCTTCGCCGCCCCCTTCCACGAAGCCGTCAAAAAGGGCGAAGGTGGAAACGGGATCTGGATGAATAGTCGCGGGGATGCAACGGCTATGGGTTCTAATCTCGGCACCCGGAAACAAGACCGTATCGAAGCTTTTGGGAATGCGATACCCCAGGGTACACAGTTCGTCGAGGGATTTGAGGCCCCAAAGGAAGAACTGCAACAACAGCAGCCGCAGGCAAGTGTGAATGTTCAGGGACAAGGGCAAGTTCCTCAAGTCCAACATCCGCATCCACACCCGCACTCGAACCCGCACCCGCACCCACATCCGCATCCGCATCAGCATCAGCAGGTCCATGGCTTAGAAACTATCGGTATGGATGCGTCGGTCCAGGATGGGTTTGCTATCGATGATTTTATGAATCTAGACGGTATGGAAGAGGCAGCCATGCCATTTGGGGGGGAATTTGTGGGCCATGAGGACGGGTTTCATTTTGGCTGATTCCTCTCTTTTTGCTTAGCTTCATCGTCTCTATCTACGGATACTTCGTCTAATTATCTTATCTTGAGATGTAGTGCCGATAGGAAGGAGGTGAAAGTTGGATGGTGAGGGCGAAGGTTAGTTTTGGGGAGAATTTACAGAAGAGGGCACAGGTAGTTACGGGTGGCGGAGTGATGGTAATCATGATTCGGAATCTAGGGATATGAGTACCAATCAAGGAGACGAATTCTAGGGGATGTGGTGAGAAGGTTATCGTTCTTTTGCATAGCGTTGGTGTTTCTGACTGGAAAAATGGAATGGCATTTCTGGGAATAAGGGAGAAGGGTCTTCGTCTTCTCAGGAAAATATCCAAACGGCTCATTCTTATTCCGAAGGATAGAGGAAGCGGTATGCAGATCATTGAAGTGCGCGGTAGGGGATGGATAACTTGACTGCTAACCTTTTGGTGGCGAAGTACAAGGAGAGTAACTATGGTAGTAATAGAACGAAATATCACTATGTATAGTGCTTGTTCATACATTTTCAATACCAAGAGGACCTAAAGGAATGCTTTCCCCACTACAGCGTTACGGGGGTTGAAATTCTTCCTGCACTAGAGTACTCCCCGAGATCTATGAGTTTGGACTATGATTGAACTCATCGCTGTACGTAGCTTCTTCTGACTATATATGTCAAGGTATCCTGGGGTCCGAGGTCCACTTAGAGCAGAAGATTCTCTCGTGCGACGTCTAAAATGATGGAATTAAATTAAGATTCCCCCTCACAATGATCAGCCACATTCTAACGTCTAAGATACACATGTAGGGCAGAAGATTCTCGTTTGACTTCGTAGAGCTCAATTTGCAAAGACATAAGGACTCTGCCAGAGGCTAGACACTTGTTCCTATTCTCGATCTGTGAGTTTCAGTGCTTAAGATCAAGACGGTGGGGGCAGAGGTATTGAGTTATTTCGTTGTGACATAGTTGGTAAGAGGTTTAACGAAGAGCCAAGAGGACGCTGATATCAAGTATTAGCTTCATTCCTCATCTCCGTTCGACTCTTATCTAAGTTTAGCATTGATGGATCGAACGGAAGGAAATATGTCAAGACCAGGTCCGAATTGTGTCATTTCGCTCGAAGCTAATAAGCTCTTGCTGGCTGGGACATTGAAGTGGTTAAGCGGATTTGTGGGTTTGTTCTACAGTTCCCGCAATATACTTTGGCCCCGGTTTCACCTCTTCCGGGACGGTTCCTGTCAGTGGTGGAACCCACTCTGGGTCTCCCATGCGTATGGCTTCAAGGTAGTCTCGTCCTGCAATGATGAATCCTGCGCAGCCCGAATCTACAATGCCAACTATGTTCAGTTGGTCGCCGACAAGTATGTTATCCAGATGTAGATCTCTATGAGAAACGTAATTACGTTGTCAAGCACTGATACCCTAGAAGAGGATCTTGATCGCTATCCGTAAGTCCACCTTCAGGGCGAGAATTACAAGGGTTACAGCCAACCCCTCTATGCATTCCGCACAGGATGGGAACAATCCATACCTCGTTTCAATCCAGGTTTCAAAGCTCATTTGCGAGAAAAAGACGATTTCGCAGTGGCAATCTTACAAAGCGCCATAGAAATTCCCTCGCTGGTCGCCGGGCTCTTCAACGAACGCCTTTAGCTGGGTGGCCACATACTGCCTCTCTTCTTTAGAAAGTATCGCCTATGCCTCCCCCAGTTTTTCGCCTTCAATTCTCGACATGAAGATGTACTTAATACTACCCATTTCGTAGGTATCATAAACATAGAGTACGGGCATGGGAGTTTGATTTGCGACAAATCGCATGGCTTCCGCTTCGGCCAGTTAACACTGTGACCGACTTTCAGGATGACATCCTGGCTGGGGTGGAAGATTTCGGCCCGATTTTACGCGGCAAGAGATCCGCGGCATCTAGGATGACGGCTTTGTCTGGGACAGGTCCAGGCGGAGGAGAAGGTTGCTTGTGAATGCTACTCACAAGCGGTCTCGAGAGGCCAACTCGGCTTAACAGGCTGGAGAGTGGGCAAGTTTCAAGTGTGTAGACCATCCTCGGTGCAATTCCAATAGCAGCAAGTCCACACCAACCTTAGTGCCTACGTGGGAAAGGACACTGCCTAAGTCCTATCCCATAGCTAGCCTCCAGGAAAACTCACGATCATTGTGTTTTATTGCAGTCACAATCAGAGTAACTACAACTCAAGAGTTTGTTTGGACATTTGTAGTTGGTGCTTGGCATGCGGTACCCCTGGTGGCTGCGCCACTGCGCGGACATTGTTCCTTCCTCTTCGTTGGAAGCAACCATCACATATTCTTCTGTGAGGGTACTTAGAAATCTTTCCTACATCTTGCTCAAACACGAGACCGTCATTATTCACTCTATCCACATGAGACATACCCTCCCCAGCGCCTTCGAGTTCTTCCGAAGGAAGGCGATGGGGCGGTGGGGCTATTGTGCTTCGAACAATCTCAAGGGACGTTTCAACGCTCCCGATATTCTCATAATCGACGTCTTCATATGTTCAAAGAATGGATGTGCGGCATGCGCTGTTCTCTCGGCCGTTGTCACATCGTCCTGGCCCTGGCACAACAAGTCTGACCACTTACAATTAGAATCCTCCGCCGGATTGACAGTACATCTAAAAGCAAATTCGTTAAATGTCGCCCAAATTGAAATATTTACTCTTCCAGGTGAATATTCTCAGTCCAAATGGTTTCGGGATGTGAACACTGAAAAAAATAGGCGAAACCTGCCCCTGGCCTTTTATCCATACACGGCGCCCCATATCTGAAGACACCGGCTCGGAGAAAGCGCTAGCTAAAATACGGGATTGGCTGAAAGAATGCACCGAGGGCCACGAACGCTGTGGGAGCACCTCTATCCCATTCCTTCCCACCCGCATTGTGGAGATTCAAGATACGGACAAGGTCAGGCTCTACCAAACTCAAGGTGAGAGAGACGCCTATACCTGCCTGAGTCATTGTTGGGGATCGAACCCAATTATACAGACGACATCGTCGACGCTTTCAACATTCAAGAACAGCATACCCTGGTCACAGCTCTCAAGAACTTTTCGAGATGCTATTGATCTTACCTATCGACTCGGTCTGAAATACATCTGGATCGATTCGCTCTGCATAATTCAGGACAACATCGATGACTGGCGCCACGAAGGCAACAAAATGGCTTCAACTTACTCTAATTCTTTTCTCACAATTGCCGCCTCAAAAGCGCGGGATGGCAATGAAGGATGCTACAGTACTTGCCCGCCAGAACTTTGCAAAGTCTCGCAAAGATTCCAAAAAAAGAGGGGTAAAAGTTATGAGCTCCACTGGCGCACGCCTTTCCATGATGACCACCGCTGGGAGAATTTGCCTCTTCTCCAACGAGGTTGGGTGCTCCAGGAACGTCTATTATCTCCTAGAGTTGTACATTTTGGTCCCAGAGAGTTGTACTGGGAATGTGCGCAGCGAAACCTGTGCGAATGCTCGGAGCTGAGCCTAATCCTGAATCTTCACGGAGGTGGAGTGGGCACCAAAGACTTGAAGAGGGAACTTTCTCGTTCAGGCTTGACATTGAAGGACCAATGGTATAGTATTGTTACGGAGTATTCAAAATTGCATTTAACATTCGAGAAAGACATATTTCCCGCACTGCAAGGATTAGCTGTGTCGACACAACGCCACACACTGTTCGCATATCATGCCGGTCTGTGGGAAGACACTCTGATATCTGACTTAATGTGGATCCCTAAACGACAGGGTAGGCGGCCTCGGACATGGCGCGCTCCAACCTGGTCATGGGCGTCGGTTGTGGGTGGAGATGGTGTTTTCTGGGAATCGAAGGTATGGAGGAGAGACCCAGCCCGAATTTTTGCGTCCGTCCTCGCCGTCAACACATCCCCCGTGGGGAATAATCCCTTCGGTGAACTCCTCTCTGGCGAGTTAAAGCTCAAAGGTCCATGCATCGACACTCGATGCGTGTGCTCTTATTCCACGCTTCCAGGAGAGGTGTCAGATTTCCCTCCCACATTAGAACGCAACGAAGGCCAGGCAGGAAAGATAAAGATTGATAGATCATATCTCTGCCCTGGTTATGCTTTTGACATAGAAAATTATCATCTCGCTGCAAGTGGTACGCTTTTCAAACTCATGCTCATTGCTGAATCTCTCGGAGGCGGATATGGGTTTCTTTTAGTGTTTAGATGTGTGAACGATGAGAGACAGATATATGAGCGGGTTGGGTGCATTTTTTGCCATGATATACAAGAATTCGACGCCATTCGGCGTGTAGAAGAGTATAGTGTTCTCACGGTTATTTGACATTTACTCCTTAAATAGGTTTAGCCACATTGTATCTCGAGGTATTTCTCATTCTTAATGAGCATGTGATTGCGTGGCCTCTATGCACCAGATCCCTTTGTTTCGGCACAATTAATATCCAAGGGATAATTTGCACTCCGCTTACTTCCCGCTTTGACATTTCTACGAACGATAGCTAGCACATCAATCCTTAAGGGGCCTTTACATTGTAACAGATAGACGGTCTAGATTTCTATAATAAAGTTGGGTTTTACAAGAAGTATATGGAATAGGTTCTGCGATTTCATACACCAGCCTCAATGCCTCGGAATGGTGGTTTAAGAGATGTGGTAAATGGAGAGGAATATTTCCAATTTAGGCCCAGTGCGGAATGGCTATCGTATCACAAATCTAACACTAGACCTCCCGACACCTTACGCACATCTCTACCGAGATAAACGCGACACGATAAGACTCGTGGAATGCTTTGGGCTATTTGAGGATTACTACTGTAAGCCGAACGCTTCTACGATGGGCTGTCCAGTCAACCTTGGCGTCTCATCATACTATATAAATCATAGAGCTCCTCGGACCCTCAGTCCACAATACATGACTCCTCTCATAAGTCGTGCCCGTACAAGGTTACAACTTCAAATCAGTAGAGCGTATGTTCTCAGCCTCTCTGGCACTATTGTGGGTACCGGTACCGAGGCACATTGTCTGTACCTTTTCCACCTTAGCGCCATGTATCGTAAGGAGCCTAGATAGAGCTGATGGAGGGCATATAGAGAGGCGAGTAGTCAGTTAGGTAGTGAGAGACATCCTAGGCATATTGAAGTGTAATGTAAGGTCTCTGGAGCTCGAGAGAGCTCAGAGGTAAATATATAGTAGATAAAAGAGCGCTAGACCTAACTAGGTATGTGCTAGTCCTAAACAGGAAACATGTGTGAATCAAGAGCCCAAATTCAGCCTGACACATGGTCACGTGATTTATTGTCACGTGCGACACCATGTTCTATTCTCTTTGGCTACGATTACAACTCCGGCCCAATACCACCTCTCTTCGACAAGCTATTCCGTTCCGTCTCGGGTGCGCTACGAGTCTATCAGAAGCCCACTGAAATCTGCCTTTCTCATCTTCACCCTCCTGGCGGTCACCTCGACCCTGCCATCAATAACTAGTCATCGGGATGGACAATCGCGACTTTGGACACCCGCGAACCGTGTATGAAACTTCCCAAATTTTTGAAGACTATAATCTCGCTGAATTTGGATACCCAGGTAGTCCCTACTCTTCTAGAGGTGGCCCCGAACAGAAGATGGAACTATTATCGGGTTAGATTGGGAAGACAACATCAGCGGGTGTACAAGGCTGACATGGATATGCAGGAGTTGGGTCGCTCGCTGTTCAAAAGGAGCCGGATACGCGTTTTCCTAGATATATCGGAAGCACTGTTCTAGCACATAGCTTAGGGAATATAGCAGGTTACATGGTGGAAATTGAGTCTAGGGGTTAAGTATTACCTAGCCTCGACAGCCTGTCCCCGCCACTTCCCGAGATTGACGAGCGATCGGAGTCACGCTTCATCACCTCTTCGTTGACAACTTTATGAATGAGCAGTCTCCTTATGTGAGACTCCCCGCCAAACTGCCCAAGAGGTTCCAAAGGGAACTCTCACACCGTCTCGCTTCACTGATACTTGGCAACAGGAACTTAGGTTCTGGCACCGTGTCACGGCCAGACCAACTCTAGGTATTGTCGAGGATGATACGGTTTCGGAATGATTTAAGGAGGACAAATTTGAAGGATTTTGATTGGGTGCACTATAATCGAATGTGCTACAACCCGCTGCACGAATTTTGCTGCACAGATGACGCCGAGCTTTACCTTCTCTATTCTTTAAGGATGAAATTAGCCTTCTCTAAGAAACGACGAGCGGTTCCTACTATTTCTCAAAACTAGCATCTTCATAGAGAGCTGAGAAGATTTGGCAGTACTTGATAGTATCCCAAAGCGAACCAAAATTCCTGTTGGCAATACAGTTTTCAAAAACTTAATGACGTTATATAATGCTATTTTCAGTGCTCGCAAATTTAAGAATTTCTTTATGCCTAGGTACCTAGGTACCTAAGTAGCGTATCAGCTTGCACTGCACACATGACCACGCGAGGTGCATGAAGGGTGATCCCTTTTCGGCTAGTGCGCTAGGATTTGCGCACTTCAAATCCAACGTCAAATTACACAATAGCTCTTCTAACTTCTCTGATTGGAGCATTCTAAGTCAGAAAGCCTCTGGGATTTGGGTGAGATCCTTTAAGGTATGTGTGATGCTGGAAAACTTATTGCAACACTTGACCCTCATATTGACCCTCAAGTGTCGCGTCCCACGCGTCCCACGTGTCCCTGCCATCTTGTTTGTATTTCGTCTTTGTTTTGTTCAAGTCAAGTCATTATCGTAAATCTCCCATTGTTCGCGCATGTTAGTTGTGGACGACACCCTTCGGTTACTCTAGTCAGTGTTAATGTTTTCTCCTGCATTTTCCATCAGTGTTCACATTCGGTGTTCAGCTCTTGCTAGCTGCTCTGTCACACGCACACAATAGAGCATAGCCGTGGTAGGAGCTTTTGAATTTCGTGGTGTGGAGAAAGGTTGGACCATCGTTCATGTACCATGTCCCTCTAGCTTTGGTGATTGCTAGTGGGTGGCTGGTAGTGATTCAGAAATGCAAGGCGTGATGATGCAATCACTGCGTTCTTGAAGGGGTTGTCTTTGCTAAGGAAGCAGACGCCGCCTCCCCCAAGTTTTGGGCGGCTCGCTCCGTGAGGTTATTTCCTCAAAGCCTTGGCGCTGGCTACAAAGTCGACGGTTCACGAGTCCTCCGTCCTCGTTGCCTCCAACTTTTTCGAACCCCACCTCGAGGTCACTGTCGCACGTATCTCACGCGATACCATACCCATGTACTGCACTATTCACTCATTAGGGCTAGCTCCTTTCTCGTACAGTATATAGTCAGCCCAGAGCTCTCTCGAGCTCCTTAGACCTTACAATACACTCGTGAAATCCACTTTGTTTGGATCTCAGTACCTTGTCGACTCGCTTACCATATGATCCCTTCTCAACTCATGCAAGAGTCACGACCGTCAATTATTGTTCGATTCTGCACGCATCGCCTGGATGCTAAGGGTCAGATCCACCTTTGGTCTGCCCGCAGCCGTGAGCAAGTCCCGGTCCGAGAGACATAATAAGAAATCCGGAGGAATTTGTGTATGAACAGCCTGCAGGCGGTCAATTTTTACAGTCTTCTATGGGAAGTGAAAGCGGGTAAGAAACGAAGAAGAGGAAATCTTTTGCATGTATGTAGATAATGCAACGCAAGCTCATTGTTAAAATGACTACAATGCTATTGCTCCCTCATTTTCACTATCAGCGCGGAACTAATTTGCAAACATGGTAAGAATCACTCGATCTGGGAGCTGTGCCCCAGGGCTGACCTGAGTCACAGGATCTACGGTGATCTACGGTGACACGCCCTCCACGTTATTTATGCGCTCAGGCGCGGACGCTCTCCCTCCACCTCAACAGAACGACGACGTGATTATTAACGACGATCTGTTCCAAGATACTGCCAACAATCCAAACTGGAACCTCAGCTCCACCATGGTTGATCAAGGGAGCCACCCTCCCCCATTCCACGCCCAGACCAACCAGGAACAAGCACTCGCTGTGTCGCAGGATCTTGATAGTGACGTCCCCCCAGACAATCACTACCCCAGCCAACGTCAAAATTATGAAGAAGATAGACATCCGTCACAATTCGATCAAGTTGGCGGCGGGTCTTCACAAGGTAAGCTTTTATATTTGAAGGGAGCCGGCTCATTACTAATGACGATGAATAGGTGCCGCAGCCGCGTATGCGTCACAATCTGAGGAGGTTTCAGATGATGAACAGCGGCAGGGTGGCCAACCTCAATGTGAGCTTCGTACCGCTCCTGATGTACACCAGCAAGGCAGTCAGGTCATTGGTAACATCCCCCATCAAGGTGCCTATTCACATTGTAATCCACCAACTATAGACAGTGGTAGGGTATAATACTAATATACCTGAATAGACTCTACCTCGTACTTTTGTCATGTAACCGAGAACGTGCAGCAACAGCATGGCCTAGGGCCAGGCAAGCTTTCCAATTCAGAAATATAGGTTCAATGCTAACTCCCAACGCTTAGGCACTGCAACCATAGCGCCATGTACTAAGCATGTAGTTGGTAATGGATATCAGCAGAGGATTAATGTGCATGGTAAGCCTACCAACTACAAAATCTGCAGTTTAGTGCTAACTCGTAAAATAGATGTCACAACCAGTGGTTCCTCGGATGAGCCTAATTGGGATGACTTGGTAAACCGAGCCTATGGTCCCGCCATTGACCTAGCGACCCACAACCGTCTCAAACAAGAACAAGCTACTCAGGAAGAGCGGGCAAAACAGTCCCGCAAAGACTGGCTAGCCTGGGAAACCGCCCAAGAAGCCACACAAGCAGATCAAGCAGGCATTCCTCTGCCAAATGCTCCTTCGCTTACCAACGCTCAACCTACAAGTGCCGTTGTTTCCTCTGTTGGCGCTACTACTACGGCGCCTCCGCCACCGCCCTATGTCCCTCAGCTTAGCTTTGCGGATGACTGGCATGGAGCGCTTGCCTATCGGCGCCGTATCATCACCCCGCCCGCTATCGATCCTGAGAACGACCCGACTATTCGCCTAGTACTCGGAGCTTCTGAGCATTGGATATGGAAGCTGGTCCAGGCTTTCCAAAATATTGAGAATGTCCGCGACCGAGAAGGCTCTGCCGATATCAAAAAGTTTGAGGAGGAGAACTTCATGATCCAGAAGATCAACATCGAGGCCGCTTGTCGAGAACTTTTTGTACGTAGATTGCCCATGTTCCCACTGTTTCATCTGAAATAACCATGTCTAGATTTCCCTGATATCCAGGGTCCTGTACGGATACCGGGGAAATGGACGGGTTGATAGGGCAGCTGCTCCAGAGGCTGGTCTCGCCGCAGACCGGGATGGATCGTGTCATGACCGGATCCGGAACATTGTGAACGCATTGAAGGTGCGACTCGGGAGCCTTCCAAACTGTTCCAGGGTTTTCTGACCGTTCTCTAGTTTGATAAGCGTATTTGTCGAGATATCCTTAATGATACTTCCAAACTTGAGGACCTCGTCAACGCGCCCCTGGCTTATGCTAAGGTAAGTCAGTCCTCAACTATTTCTTAAGACCTTTGCTGGATTGACTAACGTTTTGAAGACGAAAGATTCGAATGCTAAAAACAACGATCACCGTACGAGGCTCGGCACTGAGAATAAGAAGATGACCGAGGAGAACAAGAAGTTGAAGGAGCGACTTGGTGAGCCTGACTTAGAGACCTCAACCCCCACCGGCAAACCCGCGACACCTGCGACCACCAAGTCAACCACTCGCAAAGGTCAAGGTCGGAGAGTTGGTGCCGATGTGAGGACACCTCAAGCCAGCCGTGGCGGAGGAAATCCACCACTTGATCATATAGGTCGGATTATCTTCACTTGGCCAAATAAACGTGGCAGCAAAGCTAAGCGCGGATCGCAACCAGCTGAATCTCTACAGAACGTAGGTCCTCTGGCTCACGCTCCCTCAACGCTGATGGGTCGAAGCTCGCCCAGTCAGGGCCCGCTCTCGGGGTATTCAGAAGCTGGATATGTTCCAAGGCCGCCACTACCTGAAGGTTTCCGAACTCAAGGTTACCAGGGCGTTGTTGGTCAAGGCTTCGGACGTCCGAGTCAATCTTTGACTAGACAACCGTCCCAAGGCCAAGCTGGCCAACTCTCCCAGGGTCGAGTTTTCCCGCGTCAAATTTCCCAGAGCCAAGGTTTCCCGCGTCACCCGCCCCAAGATCAAGATTTTCTGAGTCGACCCTCTCAAAGCCAAGTCCTCCCACGACAACTGTTCCATGATCAAGCTGGCCCAGGCCAGTTGCCTCAAGGTCAACTGTCCCACGGCCAACTATTCCCACCCCAATTCCTCTCAGTCTCGACCGCCCCGGGTCAATCTCTTCAACCTCCACTAGCTCAGCATGGCGCGAACCAACCTCTCCCAACCACTCAAGATCCTCCGACCGCCCAAGCTCCTTCGAGCCTTCAAGCTTCTTCCACCCAAGGCCAAGTTTCAGCATCCTCAGCCGACAACAGCAGGAAGCGTGCGCACGGCGAAGGCAGCGCCAACGCCGCCACTAACATCCCAACCCCAAAACGCTCTAAAGGGGGCGACAATCTCCCAGATAGTGCTCTACAGTAGGTTGCTGACAAGACCTATCAGGCGTCGAGCTCTATCGAAAGCGAGAGTCAGAGTAAGGACACCAGTAACCGTTGATGTTCAGCTGAAAGAGACTCAGTTCTGGATGGATTCATGAAGCGGGTTCGCTCTTCTCAATCCCGTGAGTATAACGGCGGCTTTACAAAAAAGTGCATCCATTTATTTTTGGGAAGGCAGTTACCAAGACAGATTTTGAATTATGCGGAGTAAAACATTCATGTCCCATTCCCCCTCACCACCATCATCTCACCTATACATTCACATGCAGAGACATTGTTGGATGGAGTTACTGTACACATCGTCCGGATAGACAAAAATTCATCCATATCTACTATCAATGACATGGCGTGACGTTTTTGATAACACGTATCTGTCTAACATCCACTCCCAGAAAGTCCATGCACTCCGCCCGGCTTAATATACTTACAGCTCCCACTCGCATTTTCCGTCCCATTAACCCCATTCGTCAAATGTACATTCTCAAAAGAAATACCATAACACGGATTCACCGTACTACAACTCACACTCCCCTCCGTCGACTTCTTGTTCAGCCAACCCGTGAAATTAACATACTTAATATCGCTAACTAGCATCTTACTCGTACCCGAAAAACTCCCATTATTGCCATTATCCTGTGTGATCGCTGGGGGAGAATCCGCGCCCTGGACTCTGAAATTCGAAAACGTGATGTGCGACACATTGCCCCAGCCGCCTCCATTCGGCTTTCCAGCACTCTCGTATGATGATTGCAAGACTTGGTACCCGATCCAGGTTTTTATGTAGGCGCAGTTATGCATGTCTTCGTTATAGCGGATGATGTTTACGTCGTCTATGAGAACGTTTTCGACGCTGGAGTCTTCGAGATATTGGCCTAGAGAACCAATAGCGATGCCGTTTCCCCCGTGGCAGGTTATATTACGAGCGACAATGTCGTATGAGCGCGGTTTTATGGCTATGCAGTCGTCGCCGCCTTGGTACCAGAAGTTTGTTAGAGTAATGTTGTGCGCATCCATAGTGTCAAAGCCGTCAGTGTTTTGCACCCAGTTTGCTCCGTATGGAGCCTTTGTTGCAGTGGCATTGACGAGCATATTCTCGAATGACATGTTTGTTCCGTTCATTATATTTATTGCCCAGAGTTGGGGATCTTTGATTGCAAGGTTAGACACGGAGACGGACGAGACATTCCAGAATACAAAGGGCATCGGTCGGCCTTCTTGCGTTTTTCCAGCTTCGGCTGTGTACCAGACGTCACCGTTGCCGTGGATCGAGCCGGTAGAGTGCCCGTTGATACGGATGCGTGTGCCGGTGAGGATGAAGCCGGCGCGGTGGTTTTGGAAGGGGATAAGGAAGGAGTTTTGGCGCCAGTAGGTTAGGTTGTCAGAGAACTACAACGTGCAGCACGTAAGCATTGATAGAATCGAGGATGACAATGGCGTGAGTTGGGGCTTACGGTCCATTGCCCCCGCCATTCAATTTCTACATCGTTGACTATGGGGTTTAAACGCTGCGCTATCCAATAATTTTGATCCTCTGGGAAGACTATAGTGCCGCTTTTGCCACATTCTTCGAAGGCTTTAAGAATATTTGGTACATCGTCTTTTTGGCCCCCGTTCGCTTTTACAGTACACGTGTTCTTGCCATTGTGTCCGTGTCTTTGGATTGTCGGATTCGCGAAGGAAGAAGTGATGCAGAGTAGGAGCAACACATGTGACAGCAAAGAAAACATCTTGAAAAGTCGATGAAAAGTCGAAAAAAACAGGCACGCAAGGAATGGTGAGGTGTTACTAAGATATATGAAATGCGAGCAGAAATATACCTACCCCTGCGAGTGCCTACATGACCCTCGCGTTCTCATTCCCTCAAATTTGATTGCTGGATTCACTTCCTCCGAAGGCTATTTCGAAATGATCTACACTCTCAACTGTGGGGAAACGCGGATCTAAGGACACTTCAATCCTGGCTCATGGCTCCACCGAGGAAGCTTCGATGGAGCTTCAGTTTGTTCGGATGAAATGAGACCGAGAGGGGTAAATGTCGTGGGAATAGGTCTGGGAACCGCTAGGTACAGTTAATTTTCGCGGCTTGGCGCACACGAAATGCTATGACGTCGCCACCTCTGCGTTGCTTCAAGTTTGCAACCACGAGCCTCACGATGATTCTGCGACCGTCTATATTATCTCGCGCCCACTCTCTACGAATTCCACGAGCCCAGCATAGCCTTTTCGGCACATCGTCGCAACAATTGAATAAAAATCGAGTCTTTGCCAACATTCGGACACCGGATGAACTCCATACCCTGACCCTTATCAATGCGAGCGACAATAGATCGTTGATTACGTTATGGACTACTTCATGGTGCTCGACATGCCAAATCGTGAAGCCGATAATAAAACGGATGATTGAGGATGAGAAGGTTGGAGAGAGGGAAGGAGGCTTGGGGTTTGCGGAGGTGGAGTTAGACTCAACGTTGATTGGGGATTTGGGTGTGAAGTACCTGGTACGTCCCCGCTTTTATCACAGTTTCTGTATGGAATCTAGAATGGCAAGGTCACTAATTCCAGGAGAAAGATCACCTCAATACCTACACTCCTTGCGTTCAGCAGGCAAGAAGCACAGCTTGACACGAAGATTACAAGGCCCGAGCAGATGAGAAATAAAGAGTTCTTGAGACAATGGCTGGAATCAGAAGCTCTAAGAGGAGGGCGCGCGGGAGGATATGGAGGCAGCCTATTCGGTAGTTGGTTTGGTGGAAGATGATCTGGATAAGCTAATGCCATCATTATATGCATCGTGGCATGAGTTTGTCCGTGATTTCGTGAAAGTAAGGAACTAAATTACATCATCTAGCCTTAATGTTGACTTTAAGCCAACCGCTCGTCATCGCCACCTTTCTTCGACTCTCTACCACGCATTTCTTTAATTCGTATTCTTCTTTTACTTGTACAATTTTTTGCACCGTATTTAATCCCTTCGTAGGGCCATTTCACATCGTACCTAAGACTTTAGGACACTTCCCTGCGGTCATATTCATCCACATCTTGTATTCGAGGGTGGCTATCGCTCCGTAAGTAAGCCAGAACGTCCAAAAGAAGTTCATGGAGTCCGCAGCCAGATCGCGCCTAGGCAGATCGGTAAATACTTACAAGCTTCCTGTTAACGGAGTGGGGAAGGGTGAGATCTTGAGGCGAGAGCACTAGCCGGGTCAGTCTGCTTTACATACCTTACTCAGCTGCAGTGTGATAGTGATTATAAAATTTTAATTTTTAAGTGAATGTATATGCCATCAAATACGGGCCTCAATGGGACCGGTCCCCTGCATTTCAATCCTCCGAAGGTAATCTGTCACTGTGTTTCGGACCTAGTGTAAACGCAAAGCTACTCCATTGCGACGCCCTTCTATGAACTGAGTCTAGTTGCCGACGTAGAATGAGATGCGAGGCGAGAATCTGCGATCATGCCTAGGCTTCTCAACAGCCCTAAAGAGCCCGTAGCACAGTAAAAATGCCCAGGCCAACTTCGAATCCAGCTCGCCTGTTTGTAAAAGCGCTTGCAGGATAACTGCATCTCGGTAGAAGTCGTTGCTCTGTTAAAAGCAAGATTTATCTGAAGATTGAGAAGGATGGTCCATGCATTCAATAGCAGTAGCCGCTGTCCCAAAATTCTGCCTGCCACGCGTAAGCTACCCAGTTGATTTGGCCAGGCCGTTAGGACTCATTTACCTCGGACGCTAGTAGCCCTCAGAGATAGTTACTATTGAAGAACTAGGTGCGCTCTGCTATCGCCTGCATCTAGTGAACAGGATTCAGCCGTAGAAAAAGACATCTGGGTCTCGAAATTCACCTTGGGTACCATCTCCAGCTCAAAATGTACTTTGACGCCCTGTTCTTCGCTCCCGGTTGCATTTTCTGGTTGTAACTGTATGACAAATAGTCTCGAATGATACTGGTCCACCCAGGGAATAAGAAGGGGGTGACCAGAGCGCATTGTAGTCGCGACGTCGTCTCTCTTACTAGAGCGTGTATCAAGATCGAGGGTATCGATATATATCTAGGGTATTAAACCTTTTCTGACCTAGTTGATATTTCGTGACTGCCGACGCTCCTTTAATATTTGGAAATATCACTCTACACTCAGCGAAAGTCGAATGCATATCTTGGATCTTTCTTCAGCAACTTTCCGAAGGTTTCGAGGAGATATCTGAGAAGTTAGAAGCCCCCTAGCAAGGCCGAACCGCCAGCTGAAGATGCAGAAGGATATTCTGGTGGAGGAACAGGTAATGCATCATGTTGCACTTGTAGCTCGTCGACATTAGTATCAAGCCATGCAGAGCAGCCCATCCCTTATGCGGGGTTCAATTATCGGACTGGAATTTTGGTCATGATGGGTTCCTTCTAGAAACTCAATATTTATCCTCTGCGCCATTGTCACGGCATCTAAGTGTAGATGGCTTGGTTCGAACACGTTTTCTCAAAAAAGCTGCATGCTAATATGAAATGGCGCTCTCGCATAGAGGCCGGATTGTTGATCTTTAAGGGTGTCCGCACCTTGTCGGTGACGAATTTAGAGCAACCTAGGAGAGCTAGCAACAGCATTCAGTTAATTGTTATCCCGCAAAAAGCAATGAAGCAAAAATTTTGTACTTGGCAGGAAAATTCCATCTCTCTATATAGGCATAAATGTGGAGTTAAACTCTAGTAACGAGAAGAGGTCGAACAAGATGCAGTACGGGAACTTAGAATTTTCAAAACTGAAGCAGTCTTTAGCGTTGAACCCTTTGGTCACTGATGGCGAAACTGGGATATCCTGGATGCTGGGTATTGATCGCAAAGAGACCTAGCGCAATTACCGACTGTTGGTCTCACCAAGTTCACCTCCTGCTTCTTTCGGACTTTGAGCCCCCTGTTGCAACGGCCCTAGGCGGTTTCGAAGATATATTGGCAAGGGCCAAAATCTAGTTCCACATCTCTAGCTTTCTCTAAATCGCCTTCAATAGGTCCACCTTTGGGGATCATCTTTTAAAGAATCACTTTTATCAGGGTCACTTTCGCATCATTATATTTCTTAGGATGGCCTTCTTTGGAATGGAATTTCTTCCAAATCCTTTTTACTATCATTACTTACTTCTTCGATCCCAACATATTCGATGGTATCAGCTGGCTGATAGTGACCAACCTAAAACCTAGCTGAACTGCGCACCACGTTTCTGTCTCCGAGAGAATTTAGGCTGGCTAAGGATCTCAAGGACGGCGAACGAGCGGATGGGTCCAATTTAAAACCCAGCCGGCGAAACAGCGTGGCTACTGCCAGTACCCTCGATACCTTTGTTTGTAAACATCTACTCATTGACAGTAGCCGTGGCACCGTGAGGGAGGCCGAGTAAATAGCCGTGACAACCGCCATCATTAGGTCATGTGCGATGAATTTCAATGTGGTGGGTGAGGTCTTTGTCTTCGTCGTGACCTCAGAGGTCGCTAGATTGAGCAGATTGTATCAGCAGAGCTTTTAGAAGGAGGCGGGATGGAGTAGGCAGGAGATCGACAGTCGCATATAAGACATCAAGCAGGGCATGGTTTCATAGGTGACGATAAATAGGGCGCTTACACCGTGATAGGATGACGATTCGTCAACTCTTCCAATACTAACGCACCAGTTCCCAAAGACCGAAACTTCACAACTGCAACATCTCTCTCTAGCTCGAGAGAGCCCATTGCGAGCTCATAATATCCTTCTGACAAAATTCCAAAACTGCCTTAAATTTGGGCTACTCTATTTTTCCCCATCGCCTTCGCCGCCTCGCGTCCAAATGAACCTGGATGCGACGTCCTGGGTCAAACAATGGTGACCATATAGATGCAGGATGCAATCAATTATCCACTGTATTATTCAATTGATCCCAGCCCTTATTAAAAGTTGCGAGTGAATAATTGAGGGAAGGTACCCACTGCACTCGCAGCTCCTAAATTTCTACATCTTTTGTTCTTACTCTCTTCGAAGGAGCACGCTCATCAACATCATCTGGTGCTTCCCTTTTTCCCATTTCTTTGGACGCATGGCCGAGGGACGTTAAGTGCCGACGAAACTGAGAGTCTTCTACGGCTTTTGAGAATATCATCTTGAGGTTTTAGCTTGAGGGTCATAATGGAGAGTGTTGGAGAGGCATGTTTCCTGATGTTATTTGGGGGGATTAATGAGCGCCATTTCGTCCCTGGTGCTTAAACGCGATAACCACGCATGTGACTAGAAGATCTCCTTATGTTGTGAATGCAGAATAAAGAATCGACGCTGTATCTGGAGATATTGTGCTGTGGAGATGGTGTTTATTGTAGTGGTGGATTGGGTGATTGGCTGGATGTTGAAGATGTCACTCTGTGGTGTGTAAAGCTATTACTGAATAGTAGTGTCGGGAGGGTTTGGCGGGAGACCGCGTCAGAAGGACGAGAAAGAGAACGAGCACTTAAAGTGGGCGTGAGAGGGCGAGGATAGAGCAAGACTAAAAGATGACATTGAGCGCTAGAAATTCTTTAACCTCTTCATCATAACTTTAAACATTAGCTCCGAGGACAGCAAAATGTAAAACGCGGACTGAACCTCATTCCCGCAATCATGAAGTCCCAAGCACGTTTCCTCCTCTTTCAGGATAAGAGTCGTATTTCATAGGGCACATCTCGCGCGTCTTTCTACTAGACTTTAGCCGCTATGAGACATCGCGATGGCTCTTGGTTATGCTTTCAAAGCAACGCTGAGCACTCCGATGTGTCGTTGGCGTCCCTTGCGACTACCCAGAGCCGCGTTATTCGGTTCCCTTCGAAGGACTTGGCATTGAAGCCAAAGTTGCCTCCATTTAATCTTCCTATGTTGGAATCTCCATCATTCCTCGCAAACATGCTTCGAATTTCGCTCACATATCGCAACCTGGATTCGAGTACTTCTCTACAGCGCTAAAGACAGTTGGGTTGTCCACGTAACATTCTTGGCCGAGTACTCGACAGCCGAGATCAGCTTCGAGTTCCGGGCCTACGTCAGTCCGCATGCTGCGGATGATGTTGGCAGCGTAGAGACAGGAAGAGGTGTTGTCGTATGGCAATGGCTCCACATAGATTGCTTCATTTGGAAAGGTCCATGAGCCTTGGAGGGGCTGGTCGAACTGGTAACTGAAATGCGACATGGCATCTGCCTTGGGATCTGGAGCCGATGTGATTGGCGGAGGGAAGAATGGTAGGCTATTATATCCCGGGGGAGTGCTGACAGCACTCGATGTGACTGAGAGCGGACTCTGGCCTCCGTTGCTGCTTAAAGCAGCTGTCCGCTGAGGGATGGAGATTGGAGCTACTGCCGGGGACTGGGGTGCTAAGGTCGTAGAACTCGGTTGCGCACCACAAGAAGTGGTGCAAGAGGGACCACAGGTTCGTTTACGGTTGAGCATCGTTACAAGATTCGACGCTGCGGAAGCCTGCTCAAGAGACCGGTCGTTGGTGCCCATGACTGCAGCAATATCTGCCTCGGGCACACCCCTTTCGAGTAAAAGGGCGCGGAGTTTTCGATTCTCTTCAAGCACTTTTCTAGCAGCGCTTTGAATTTCTGCAGAAGCCTCGACGCCCATCTGTTCGCAGTTGCGAAGCTTGGCCTCAAGTTCTTGAAGATACTCTTTCCGTCGAGCACGTGAACGACCTAAATTCCTTTAATACTTGAGCTTCAAAGTAGATTGATGGACCATACGCTGATTGTCGCGAATGCGAGCAAGGTTTTGAACCTTCTGTGAAGAGCGTTAGCCTCCACTAGAGAAGAGGAGAATGCTTAAATATCGCCATACCGTGCTGTGGTCATTCATGGTGAAGACAGAAATAAATAGATATAAGGCTGAGAGGTAGAAGATAAGGGATGCTAGGATGACTTGATAGGCGCGGCCTCAGCTTTGAGGTCATGCCAGTGCATATGTAGTTCGCATTCTCAATCAACTTGGGGAGTGGACGCAAAGCAGGAGAACGCCACCAATAAGGTGTCCAGCTCCAGTCGCATCGTGGTATGCCTGCTCGTGCAGAGGGAGAATGGAGGGGTGGGCTGAAAACGGGCTGGAGATGGGCGAGGCGCTCGGCAACCTCGCTGCAGGCGCGGGCTAGTTATGCATTTCCGCATGCGATGTATTTCCGTGGAGGTTTGCTGACGGGTGAAATGTTACACGGTTTCGAGATAAGCTTCGCTTGGCGCCTCACGTGACCCAGCACATCCCAGTTCCAGGATTTAGCCCCAAGGGAGATCCTGTGGCGCCTACAGACTTCAGCGTGGGTGGGGAATCATCCCACTGCCACACGTCACCAGCAGTGCCTTCTATCCTTCATTCACGTCTACTCTTCATTTCTTTTAGGATTTTAGCTGCAAAGAGCAGTCTGTTGGAACCGAACTTCGAGCGTCCAGCCAGGGACAGTGGGAATACGATAGACAAGTAGTCCCCAACACCACCTCTATTAGCGCGTCAGCATGCCTATCTGGAAAAGGTCTCGAAGCTCCAGCGAGGCTGGCATTGATCCAACATTCCGCTATGAGACTTCATGGCTCCTCTCCCCTAGTGTGCTCTTCATCCTTCGAGCGCTGTTTTCTCTTTACGCCTTCACGACCATTTTTACAATTTTTGGGTACAACAATAGCCACGGGCAGTCGGAAAACTCAAGGCATTCCTTCTCGTTCTTCACCAACTTAACTTATTGGGGTCTTGCTTTCTACTATGCTTTCGCCGCGCTGCATACTGGTAGTTATTGGTTGAAAGGGCAACCTTTCCTGAGCAGTTGGCCCCGCCCTTTGCAACTTGCCCATGGAATGTTTTATAGCACCATTGTTATATTCCCATTCATTGTTACCAGTGAGTACCTTCAATGGAAGTCTATTTGGACGGCGCTGACTATGCCAAGTTGTATACTGGGCCCTACTGTATTCCGGGCATTTCACTGACGCGTTCACAACATGGAGCAACACTTCCCAGCACGCGCTCAATTCGGTTTACGCCCTCTTCGAGATTGTGTTCCCAAGAACGAAACCGCTGCCGTTCCTCCACCTCATAGTTATAATCGTTATACTGGCTCTCTATCTCGGGCTAGCTTACCTTACGTACGCGACCGACGACTACTTCGTCTATGACTTCCTCGACAGCACGACGAATTCGCCGGAGAAAGTGGCTGGATATATCATTGGGATATTGGTTGCAGCTGTCATCATATTCCTCATCATCCGATACTTGATCATGCTGCGGGTCTGGTTTACAGAGAAACCGGGAAGGACTGGGGAATTCACCACCCATAGAGGGGTCAGTTTGGAGGAGGAAGCGGAAAAGGGCAATACCATGCACGACGTCAGCGCCAAGTAGTGGCCGAAGCAGTTCTAACCACGTGCTTGTTTTATTGAACGCCTTCCCGGTCGTCCCGTTTTCTTTCGTACAATACACTACATTAATAATCGCGTTCAAATTGCGCTTAATCCTTGTATCTCGCCGCTTCGAAACCACCGTATCTTTGCCGCATTGATTGCTTTTTCGAGGAACCTTGCCCGACTGAAACTGAACATGGGTCTTGATCGCACCTCACCAAGCCACAGCAAAAGGGCGAGATCGCATTCTGTGGGTACAGACGAGCGCCGCTCAGTTATTTATTTTTACCCGTTGTCATTTTGAAGCCCTATTGCAACATACTCTGTACTACTGACGCAAACATTTGGCTTTAAACTAGGCCAAGTGACCTGACGCCGCACGGCACGTCAATCATCTCTTTTGTTGTCTTGTGTGAGGTCGGCGATCATTTCGCACCCATCTGGCTTTGGCCTCCGATCCCGCGCAATCCAGAGCCCGAAAAGAAGCCGGTTTTAATTACTATATTCTTACGAAATAGCCTGGGGTGCGGTGATGGAACACCCTTATTGCGTGCTGGATTCAAGCGCAACAATTGGGTCCTGGAGCAACAACTTGACATCCGTGCTGCCGCCGAGCTTCGGAGCCGCAAAGCGCAGAAGCCTCAGAATGTCCGATGCGGGTCGTCTCCCAGTTCGAGATCACACGCATGATGGGGTGTGGTAGTTCGACTGCAGAGATTTTGCAGAAGAAACGGGTGATTTTCCGCTGACAAGTGCTGCCGGCCAATCAGTGATGCACGTGGAACTGCACAAAATGCCAAGCATCACGGAAAGGGCGCTGTAGACGAAACCAACATTACGAGGTGGGATGCGACTAGAAGGGTGATAGAATGTAGGATGGAACTTCTAGAAGAAGCTTGAGCCAGGCTTCGGCGAAGCAACACAAGGGCCCTGCAGAGCACACGACACGAGGTTTTCATCTGTGGTTGGTTAAACCCCCGTTCCTGGACGAGGGTATTGTCTTCGATGCTGCCTTAAGAACGGGAGGTGCTGCCCTGTGGGTGCCCGAGTCCGGTGAATAGAAGCGACGTGCAGCTCCGTGCAGATGATGGTCACCAAATCGAACGATCGAAGCAAGCTCAACTGAAAGCAATCCCAAATGAAGGCCCTCGCCTGCAAGGCAGAACCAGCATCGAATCATCATATATATGCGCTGATTCGCAGTGTGACCTGACGCACAGGTACTGCTGTATCTTTATCTGCTAATGGATCATTATCCTTGTTACTGTCCCTGCATCTGTGCTTCTCACCGAGGCCACCCATCCACCACTCGGATACTCTTGTTGGCAACATTCGTCTACAGCCACTGTGCTTTCGCATGAGCAGCGCCCGTTCTCACTGAATACTCAACTAACTCGCCAAAAAACGACTGCTTGAGCCATCAGCAGTCATTGAGAGGTGCTAGGAGGAGCTTGCATGACGCCCTCCGGCAGTCTCCAGACCGACCCGAGACTTTGGCTCAAAGTATTCGCGTGTGCACACCAAGCGCGGAATCTGTCAAGGCCCGTTGTCTGCTCATCAAATTCGAAGTGGCTCTCATACGTAGTGTGCATGCCAGGGAAGTGAACACGAGATTCGACCCCAGGACTAAAAAATGCCGCACGCATGCATGAGCTGCGCCGCGAGCATTCGCAGTGGCCGTTCGAATCTCTCGTCGTCACAGCAAGCAGCAGAGTGTGCATCAGATATTCGTGTCCTAGGAACCCTCTCGGTCGTAGTTCCCAAACTTCTCTCGGCTTTCTATCAGAGTGGCAACTTTGCAAGTTGAACAGTCAGTCCACCTAGATGAAACACTACTCCCCGAACTGTTAAGTTGAGCCACACTATCTCCGTTCGATGGTGTCCGACACAGCCCTACTCTGCTCCTCCATTTTCACCGGTGGGGCCGAGCCTCAAGGTCGTGATATCCTGGTAACCTACGTCAGCATCAATATCCCCGGCTACCCTTCTCCCTGTCACTCGGGGCACAGCATCATGTGGCATCCCACGGCGAATCCTTATCAGAAGGCGTTTTACGAGCCAAGACCGAGGGAAGAGGTTACGAGTCAGGCTCTTGCAGTGCGCCTTTTATTCAAACTCTGATTCTGACCGACAGCAACACATGAACAGGCATTCAATTCCTTGGCTTCTCTCAGACTCATTTCTTCGTTGAAAACTCCTACCTAGAGTTCCAAGGACAGCTGAACAGAAGCCAGTTCACCTACCAAACATTTACTCAACCTTCTGCTAATATTCTACTACCAGGTTTCCAGTATGTTTTCTAGCTGTCAACCCCAATCCCTCCCCTACTATTCAGCCAACATCGTGGCAACGCCGGCTCTTATCCAATGATGCAGGAGCTAATGTACTTGAAACTGCTCGCAATCAGAGGGACGCATCTCCAGTTATCCCAAGCGACACCCCACGAAGATCTCTTACGGATGCCTGTCCCACAAAGAACGAGCACCATTTGAGTGTCCTGGTATGCCTTCACCGCTAAAATATCTCCGCCACTGAGCTCCCGACTTGATTAGATAGGCAGGTAGACATGCACGCAGGTAGGGTGCTTGTTCTCATTGTTTCAATCCCGTGGGGAACCACTTCAGCCTCCTGTGTCATGGTCCCTGATCTTCCAACAAAAGTAGGCGATCTAGCGAACCGTGGGTTGCGTAGATGTCTCTAAGCTACTTCATAGTCTCGTGCGGGCTGGCTTGGAAGCCGGGTTTGTGCAACTAGGACCCTGAATATTCCAAATGGGATGAACCCGTTTCTGGCGACAGAGCTTCACACATTCATAGCTGCACATTGTTGGCCGGAGCCGGAAGATTGCAAATAGAAGTGGCCCTTTTAACTGCCTTGCCTTGAAAATTCCCCGTTATCTTGCGTCATTGCGATTCAACATAAACTAATGGAATGTTATTCGTTCAAGCAAACAACAAAACATCACATTCTCAGTGCATATCAAGAGTTCTTTACTCAAATAGGAATCACTGCAACGCCGATTTCCCAAAATCATAGTATTACTACTGCTCTGTAGTCGAAGTCTTTTCACAGTTGAACCCTGCTTGTTTATCGGTAAGGCCCGAAATGCCGAGGCAACGATTTCTCCTCTCGTAGTTTGACTCTCACGACTCTCGCCCAAAGATTCAATCCAGGACGGTTTTCGAAGCCTTTTAGCACGGTCGCTTGCGAGGATTCTTGTCGTCACCACCATGATAGAAGTTGTTTACATCGTGAGGCATGGTGTAAGTCGTCGCACAAACTCTTCGGTTTCCTGCTTTCTTTCCGAAGCCATATTACCTGGTTCCGATCTCGGCTTTCCTGTCAATCTTCAACCCTTCAATTTGTTCTCCCTCCATAATCATACATCTAATATGCTTGCCCTAGTACCGCGCGAACTGGACCGTGAACCCCACGACCGGGGAATACAATTCTACCATCCTCAGCGAAACCAAGATCCCCACCGACCCGCCTCTGTCCTCCTACGGAGTCAGGCAGGCCGAGGAACTCGCAGAACATTTGTGTAATATCAACCCACCAATTGATGTCATATATTCGAGTCCTTTTTATCGATGTCTACAGACGTTGAAGCCGACGATAGAGAAGCTATTTGAGGAAGGCAGGGCGGGAGGAAAGATTAGGGTTGAGCGAGGGCTTGGGTATGACAGCATTTACTACACCAAAGATTCATGGGGTTAGATGAAACTGCTGACCTATTGGTGCTGCAGGGAATTCTACGGTCGCGCACCATTTGCCCATCCTTCGCCCGCAAACACCTTGAAGCTATCCAAATTCTTCCCTAACCTCGACCTAGAATATGAATCCCTGCTCACCCCCCCTCCAAACGGCGAAATGATTCGCGACCTACATGAGCGCGTAGCCAACGCCCTAAACCTTGTCATCGCATCCCTAGACTCTGATCCCGCAGGCCCTAAAACTATGCTAATTTGCACACACGCTGCGACTATGATAGCAATCGGTCGTGCATTGACGGGAAATGTCCCAGACAACTTCAATGAGGATGATTTCAAGTGCTACACAGCTTCATTATCGACTTTTGCGCGGAGAGGCGACGCTGAAGGGGTGCTGGGGAATTGGGAGTGTGTCGGTAATGCAGAGACGGGGTATTTGTCTGGGGGGGAGGAGAGAGGCTGGTGAGTTTATCAATTCCTATGTTTCCCTTTCTTGGCCGAGATATTATCTTTAGGACTCTCTTTAAGCCACTTGAGATTCACAAAAGGAACTTCTGAATCTGTGGTCTTAACTTCGGGGGCAAGGATAGTACACCTGAGCTTAAGATTCTTGGGCCAGGGCATCAACTGTAACATTTCTTTCTACGGCACTTTTCTCGTTTCATTTATATAGTTTTGGGTCTTTCCATAAGCTAACTATGGGGGTTGCCAGGAAATTCAACGGCGAGGAGAACTTCTCGACAGATCCCGATCCCATTGACGAGAGACAGGCACCAAAGCTATGAGCGGGTCATACCAGGTATGGAGTACGAGTGGCTGGATCTGCTTACCCTTCCGCGCAGGATAATAGAAATATAGACATCTCCTGTAGGGTGCGTTTAAATATCTTCTCCCAGTTTTCCATTAACACTTCTTTATCTACATAAACCAGCCTGCACAAAGCCAAGCACATCCATGCATCCATACCTCATTCCTAAACCTCATCCCTCTGCGCCTGCACTCGTACCTGAACTTGTACCCCTTCTCACTTCCCCTTACCAGCCGCCTGGACCCTGTCCCCGCGATCCCAGCGCCCAGGAACAAGCGTCTCTGTGTGTCGTACCCAGAGCCGTTCCGTTGTTCGCGTTCCCGCACCCCGGGTTGGTCGCGAACGCCACAACTGCCCCCAAAATTTTCCGGCAATGAACCGAACCCAGATCTGAGGCCGCGAACTCAACTTTTCAACCCAGATCTGAGGCCAAGTTTCCCCACACAATTAAATCCACGCCTGTGACGGGTTAGACGCGCGGTTGCAATTACGGAGGGTTAGGCCGGAGGGAGAAGATTTAAAAAACGTTACAGGTACTTTGTGGAGAGAGGGGAGGGATCGGATCGAGTTTGACAGGGAGTGAACTGGGTCAGATGCAGATCAGCGGGAGGTGGATTGCGGGTATGCGCTGCATGATCGCGTCATACCTACCGTAAAGACTGCCCAAGCCTGAGGGAGCGCAGGTCCTTTCTCTGTGTCGTGCCGTTCACGATTCAGTTTCTCTCCTTACTACTAAGTTGCGACAAAGGCTTGGAAATTGCATCATTCCAGCCTCGCTCGCAAACTCCCACAATATCATATTGTTGCTTTCTTTTCACACTACAGAAATCGACTGTTCTTCTTTTTGGACTCTGTCTAGACAACGGCGATTTAATTTTTCTGCCGTCGTTGCTTGCGTCAAGGAACTCAAAATTGCATCATTCGCGAACTAACTAGTTGCCATAATATTGTTGATTTCTTTTCACATACCACAAAACCCAACATTCGGCATTTCCCCCAGCCAGAGCTGAAATGCTACTCTATGAGCTCGGTCACGCGATCCCCTTTGATCAGCGACCAACGTGCCGCTCTGGCGCAAAAGACCACGGCATCTGCATTGTGGCACCTTCTCTGCGCCATCGACATTCACAAATGTTACATTCCGTGATGCCCCTGCAGCAGACAGGAAGTATGCTCCCATGTCCCCTTGCTACTGTGCTCCCTTCCTTCATGCGCTCATTCCAGCTGAAGTTCCAATCCATGCAAGCATGCATGCATGCATGCATGCATCCTTCACCTGGAGAAAGTCTCCGTAACCACAAAACGCATACACAAACACTACTACAACCGCAGCAAGTAATGCACATTACCAACCTCATCTCCACGCAGGGCTTCCAACGGGCCGTACTACGGTCCGTACAAAGTGAACCGTAACGGTCACGTGTTCAGTACGAACGTACCGAGTTCGTGAGCCGTACCGTACGTTTAATGATGCCCTAGGTACGGTACGTAGTACAGATCGTATTACCTTTTTGGGAAGTTTGTATAGGGGTTCTGGAGGGGTATGAGGGCTCTGGCGAGCAGGAGGCCTGCGGACGCTTAAATCTCTTTCTAAGGGTTTTAATCTATCCATCTGTCTGTCGTCTCAAAAATGCCTATTACAGACTATTTTCTATTGCAGAGTTATCTATCCACGCCTCTTGCAGCCTTACAGGCCTCATCTAGTCCTATCTGCTCTTGTTACTAGGGAGAACTAATTAATTAGACCTTAATCTTGCGTCTCTAGAGACCTATAGTCTTAGCTGTTTTAACTAGAGTACAGCGTACTTTAATCAAATCGTACTACTCGTACAGATCACGTGAGCCGTAACAGTTACAATACGTACACCTACCTCTCCTCCTCCCTGTCGTACGAACGTACACAAAATCTCACCCGTACAGGCCTCAAAATCGCCCAATCGTACAGTACTACGCCTCGTTGGAAGCCCTGTCTCCACGTCCGCGCACACTTCATAATCGGCCATCTCCGCCCCCGTCCAGATAAAGACCCAGACGCTTTAAACAACTTCACAGCCTCGCTGCTGGATATCTGCCACCAAGCCCACACCCCCCTTCCCCTTATCTAACTTTGTTAACCCCTCCCACTCTCCGATCCCGCCACTCTCCATTGCAGCCTGGAAAATCCGTACACCCTGCATATAGTCTTCATACTGGAAAACTTTTCCGCGGGGGCTGAGCATGGCCTTTTGCCTTCCTGTTGCTGAAAACGATGGGGGTGAAGAATGTATTAAGCAGAAAGGAGATGAGTTTCAGAGATGTGCAGGATTGGATGATGAAAGTTTGCGGAAAATATTAGACGAGGAGAAATTAGGGAACTGTAAAGGTTAAAGAGTCTAAATCTATCAAATTGATTGGGAAAATAGGCTAGGATATATTGGTCTAAAACCAAATAAAAAGGAAAATAATAGAGTGCATTCACTCCAAGATTCTATGGCCCTCTTGACACTTTCAAACTCTTCTTCTACTATCCATCTCAGTCCTTTACTCTCCATCCACTCATTCCCCCAACAGCACCCTCCAACCCCCTATAACGGCACCTCTTCCATCATCTCCCCTGCACCCTCCCTCCCAGCCGTAATAATCACATCCCCCAACGTCTTGGTCAGAAACCCCGCTTCCGAATACCTAAAATAATAATCCCACTTCCTCTTAAAAACCTCCTTACTCTCACCATCCATTTCTGCCTCCATTCCCTCGCCTCTCCCTTTCCCCAACAACTCTCTGATCCCGCCCTCCCCCTCCCACCCGGCCAAAAACCCCTCTCTCCAAATTCTCAACGCCTTCGCATAATGCGGGCCAATATTCTCAATACTATCGACAACGAGTGTTCCCCTTGAGCCATTCGTGATGGAATTGACGAGTTGGGTAACAGTAGGAAGATGGCCACCAGGAAAGATGTATCTTCGAATAAAATCATCCGATTTCGCATACCCCTCATACCTCCCCTCGGGCATCGTAATACACTGAAACGCGGCCACCCCTCCCTCTTTCTTCAAGACCCTATCCACCACCTTAAAATACGTCTCCAAATACTCCTTTCCCACCGCTTCAAGCATCTCAATTGACACTACCTTATCATAAGCCCCCGTAGCCGGGATTTCCAGATTCCGGTAATCACAGAGCAGCACCGAGATGTGTGATGAGAGACCCGCGGCCTGGATTCGAGCTTCTGCGAGCTCCTTTTGCTCGATACTGAGGGTGATGGAGGTTACGTGACAGCCCGTTTTCTGCACGGCTTGGATCGCGAAACTGCCCCATCCGGTGCCAATTTCGAGGACGTGGTCGGTGGATTTAATATGGGTGTTATCAATGAAGCGCTGTAGTTTGCGGATCTGTGCGGCTTCGAGGGATTCGGTCGAGGACGCATGATGCGATTTCGGGAGCCAGATGGGACACGAATATGTCATATCTGGAGAGAGAAAGGCGGCGAACATGTCGTTGGAGATGTCGTAGTGAGCAGAGATATTAAGGCGGGAGTTTTTGAGGTTGTTGGTTCCGCGCAGCATGGCTGCTAGGCTGGAGGATAGGGTAGAGGTGAGGGTGGAGCCGTTGGAGAGGGTGGAGCGATTTAAGATGAAGAGCTTTATGGGTGGTAAATCTGTGTTCCTAGAGGAGCTCGTTGTGTGGAGTGTGGACTTACTTGGAAGAATTTAGTTAGGTCTGGTGATGTGACTTCTCCTAGCATATAGCTTTCTGCGAAACCCTGAAATTTAGATTAGACTTACTCATATACTTTCTACCTACAGATGGAATAGTTTTGAATGAGAGGCAGGGGTGAAGACCCACCATGTCCGCGAACAGCGCCAATCGCACCCAAAACCTCTCATCATGGACATTCAAGACGGCTACTGGAAATTCATCCTGCTCAAACCCAAACACTGTCGAAGCCTTACTCGAGCTGCTCTCATAGATCGCTAGTTTCCCTAACTGAATTCCTTGCAACTGTGACAGTGTTCCACTTCTGCACAGTGAAACCAATGGCTCCCAAGCCTGCGCAGCAATGGTGCTCCATATCGTGGTCGCAGCTCCAACGAGGGGGAACGTGATCGCCATAGGACGGGTGAAACGCGAGAAAGGTCTCGTCGTATGCGGTATGGGGTACTATTTTCAACCTGTATGCGGAAAGACAAGCTTAAATCCAGTCAATTGCTCGCCCACCTCAGCATAGGCCTAAGACCACCTGGAGGAAAATGTTGCCGCGTGAGCGTCCCGTATAATATGAAAGAAACTGTAAGCTTAGTCGCAGCAACAGCGAAGTCGTCAAATGAAGAGCTGGAGATGAGCAAACACTGGTTATACCCCGCCATGACGAACAGCGACAGCGGGCTTAGTTATTGCAAAAATTTGAAGAAGCCGACGGAAGAAGAAAAGCCGACGGACGGTCTATAGCAGAGAAAGATGTGTGGAATCTGTTTGAGCCTGCAGAATGGACGAGGGTCACTTTGCCGTTTCGAGCAGTCAATGACGTTGTTGACTTGAGCCTCAAGCCGTGCGACAAATCGTCGTCGTATAGCTCCGGATGCATACGGGTGTGTGCTTCTTTGGGGGGATGCCATCTTGACGGAGAGTGCGCCAATAGAGCCGACTCCTGTCTTCTCTCACACGTCCTTGAGCGTAGAAGTCGTAGCTATGAAGAGGATGATGTGCCAAACGTCGTGATGATGCAACAGGGTCCAGGATGCCGGCTAGTGAGGGGCAGTCCTGCTGCAGGGCGAGCTTCATGCAAGGGCACAAGCTTTGCTCGGTCCCGCTTCGGTTCTAGCGCATTCCGGTCGCCAAAGGTTACAAAAAGTGACTTTGAGGACAGATATGATACAAAAGTAGATAACCGTCAAACCTAATCATACTGCTCTGTTCTCTGGGCTCCGAATCTCTATGCATGGCCTGTTGACATGTCGCCCATGATCTCCGCGGGTAGATCCGAGTATCGCCAGCATCTCACAATCATAGATGGAGCAAAAGGAAACCCCCACACTCTTGATAAGAATACGCCGAGGAGAAAATCCACAGAGTTGAAGCAACTCCTAAGGAGACACCAAGCAGGAGTGATAGGGCTAGAAAGCTTGAACTGCCGTGTTTCGAAAGCAATTGTGGAAATTAAGTTTGGGACAGCATGCCTCAAGTTTCCCGATGGAGAAAATGAGGAGCCAAACGTCGCAGTCGAGAACTGAGGAGGAGATAGGCTTTGCAGGCGTCGCTATAGTTAGAAAATTATCCGGGTTTACGGAGAAAGTGAGTTGGGGAGTGAAAATAGACTTCAGAAGGAAGGGATGCCTGTCAAACTGCCTAAACGGGAATGATATGTTTAGCCATCGAAGACTGTCCAGCTCGAAGCATGATATGGCTGGTCCGTGCAGACCTCCGCCAACTCCAATTCACTTTACGCGTCGACGCGTTCAAACTCCACGATCCCAATTGCCAACGCAAGAATTATACACCACAATACTCTACCCAGAATCCATACCACAAAATGCTAGCAATCCAGAAAGCCTCAAAACCCCCCCAAAAATGCACCCCAAATCTGCTCCCCGCGCGCCTATCCCACAATGGTCTAGTGCATGATACCGACAAGTACTGGAAACCCGTGACAGAGAGTGGTACGCGTTGTCTAAGGATAATTCATATATATAAACACGAACTAATAGATGGCTAGACAAGAAAATGGCGTACTTTCGCGGTCGTGCCCTCCACGGCACAACGCTGGCTTTGCCGTCGAACTACACAGGCGCAGTGCTGAATATCACGGATAAACAGCTTCCCACAGCCAACAGCAACAGAACAATCGCCGATGATGAGGATGAAGACGCGCATGATCAATCAGCGCGGGTAGAAGTCTCGGCCATCGAACAAGTAGGAACGTTCGATGAGTTTGTAGTTTGGGGCCACGGTGGGACAGTGAATGAGAGCGAGGATCCGTATGTGAGGGCGGTTGGAGAATGGATCGGTTTTGCGGAGAGTATGCATATTGATCCTGAAGGCAAAACGGATGGCGAGGAGACATGAGTGTATTTGTACTTTCAGGATCAGCGTCTAGATTGATTTAGTCACGTGGACTACTGAGGATGGCGTAACATATAGGAATCGTGTCGGAGAGGCTACAGAGTCCCGGCTGTGAGGGTGCCATGAATGTAGATAATCCCACGGTCGGATGTGGAGCAGGATCTTGGGCAAAACTGCAGAGGAGTACTGCATGTCAAACATACACACCAAGTCACAACCAAATCCTTTGATCATTCAACCTATATCCCAAATCCACCTCCCACCCCTACCCCTCCTGAATATCATGCCTCCCTTCCAGGTACGTCTGCGCCGCACTCAACGCCGGCAACAACAACATAACCACACTGAGCGTCTGCCCAAACCCCCATGTATTCTCGCCCGAATCCTGCAACCCACACCACTTCGTCTCATCTGTTGGTCTCGCAAACTTCTGACTCAAGACCAGGATAACTGATAGCACGGCCAGGATAATCTGCACGATAAACGCAATGAGCGGGTTCAGGAAGAGATAATATAGGACCCGTAAACCGAGGTTCGAGGGCACTGTCGTCTGCGGGGGGTTTGAGTCGGCGATTTTGCGCGTGACGAGGCCTAGGATGGAATTGGCTGAGGAAGAATCTGAGGAGCGTTCCTTTGCCAAACCTGGGATTGTGTGTTGGGGGTGATGTAATACGCACACCAACGCGGTTGAGAAACCTAAGAAGATGAAGAACATGGGGAGGACGAATGATAGCCGTCGTACGCGGTCTCGTTGGGTTTCGGCGAGTTTGTTGTCGTGTGCTACGACCATTGTTGGTCTTACGATTGCGGCGATCATAGAGGCGAGGAGAAAGAGGGCGAAGGTGATGACGAGGGTGATGCGGATGCGAGCGATAAGTTTGTATTTGTAGAGGTATTTGCGGAGAGTGATGAGCGCGGCGAGATGGGAGGAGGATGAGAGTGCGCAGATGTAGAGGATGAGAACGAAGTGGGCGCCTTGGAGGGCAAAGGTGTGTTGAGAAACCTGTGATCTCATTTACGTTATTGACACTGCTCCTCCAAGTATTTCCAAAGCGTATCATGATGGCAGCGATCACGACGAACCTTGATCCATCCACTAAGCAATACCGCATATCCTGTGATCAACTGCTGATCCCCAAGCCCAATTATCAACGGATCCAGAAACGGACGCCATGCATAATCCTTCTTCCATTCTGTATCCAAAAAGTGGTCTCTGAAGTATGTCACCGGTCTTCGTAGGGAAAACCGGCCTTTAGAGTCGAAAGCCTGGTCAAGGATCATGGCGAGGATGGAGGCCGTGGTAGTCATGATACTGGCGAGGACGAAGGAGATTACCACCTAGACGGGTCAACAAAGTGGAAACTTGGAGAGTAGCGAGATGTACGCCAACACCAGCGATGTCTGGCTCCGCCGAACCATTGCAGTTCCCTCCGTAGGAAGCAGCACTATCGAACAAAACCCAGGGTGGAGGCATGAGTTGCAAGGAAGACGCTGATGCTTGAAGTAGGAATGAGTGAAAGATGAAGCTTCGAGAGTAGTCGTAGGATAAGAAATGATGTTTTCCGAGACCAACGGCAACATTGCAACGGTTCGTAGGAGCTTGAGAAGGGACGAAGGAGAAAGAGAACCGTAGGTCCAAGGTGTAAAGGTGACAAAATGGGGACGTGTGAGAGTACCAACGAGCTTGGATGGTGCGGTGAAGCTTTGAAGAGATCATGGCTTTGGAGATATGGGTGTTTGGAGAATGCCTTGAGAGTTGCGCTGAAGGAAGGCGCGATCATCCATTTTCTACTTCCGCGATGTTGTCCAGTTACCATAGTGCAAGAGTAGGCAATTTCTTCCTAGAGCGTAAAGTTCTCGAGGTCACTCTGATCTACAGCATGTTAGCTGCTTTAGAGATCATTGACAGAGGGATTAGTGTACTCAACAGGTTCCCTGGGAAGTAGGGGGAGAGCTACGGAGAAGAATAGGGGTTTCTGCTCTTAATAGCAAACATTCGCGTTCCATGCTTTGTGTCAATAGGCAGTACATAGATAGTTTTGTCACTTACTCACAGCAGGAGGCAAGAATCCTGAGTTTTAGGAATTTTCGTAAACCGTACATATGTGCTATACATGAAGACGCCTCTCTCTAAGGCAATTGTACAAGAAAGTCACAAAAGAAATCCCGGAGCCGGTGTGCTAGGAAGCCGAGCCATATGAATCTCTCCTTCGCAGACTCAGAAGTTCATCAAATCTATCCACACAAAGTCAGTATCACCCTTCCCATTAAACCGTGCAAACAGGTTGGTTAAACTTACCTCTCCCAAAAAGCGCCCTCTTACTCCAATCCATCGCCAACAAACACCTTGTCCTAAAGCTCACACTCTGCGCAAAATACACACTCCTCCAAAGATACACCGCCATCAGTCCACCCGAGAAGTTCAACCCATTGATATCGAAGATCGCCGCATTACCAATATACGCCAAGCTGCCTAGATGATGGTACTCGAAAGCTTTATACACCGCATCATCTAGGTCACCGTAGTCGACTTCGTTTAATTGCATGCCCGGCGCCGCCTGGGCGATCTTGTTAAACTTGCGACCGAGGTATTGGCCTTGTTGGTGGGCGCGTTGCGCGGTAGCTGGAAGGGATGTGAGTTTGGAGTCGATTTGTAGGAGAAGCTCCCTAAGCTCTCCGAAATCGAGAGTCCCGCTCTTGTCCTTGTCGTATGCTTCAAATAGCTTGTCTAATCGCTTGAGATGGTCGGATGCTTGGGGAAAGCGTTGTTTGACACGCTTGGCGACTCCGCGCCAGTCTGAATAGTGGATGTGCATTTGCTCGGGGTCTTTCCCTTTCTCCCAGGCCAGAGTACGGAGAAAGGTGACGATGTGGTCGGATACGTTGTTCTGTACTGTCGAGCAGTCGCCGACAGCGTAGACGTCACCGAGAGGTGCGCCGACTAGACGGAGATGGGTGTCAGTCTCCAGTGCATGCTTGTTGTTCTGGCCTTCAAGTTTTGCGGCGAGTCGTTTACAAAAGTCGGTTTGAGAGACACCGGTGGACCATAAGCAGAAACCCATCGGAATCTCCTTCGTCTGGATCTTACCGTCCTCATCTTTTTGTGAGTAGAGGATTTTATCTGGTAGAACTTCCTTCACTCTGGAATTAGTCTGCACGTCAACTTGATCGTGGGCGAACCGCTGCTCAGCATACTTTGATAGAGCTTCATCGTACGTGTTCAGGATATGGCTGCGGGATTGTATGACATGTACTGAGATTTCGTTGCGGAGGATTTTGGGGAAAAATTTCCCGAGGTCTTCGTTCAGCATGTCGAAGAGTTCGGCTGCGAATTCGACACCGGTTGGTCCACCTCCGCAAACGACGAAAGAGAGCAACCTTCGTCTCTCCTCGTCCGTGGTTGTCGGAAGACAGGCGTTCTCGAGATTTCGAATCACCGTGTTGCGGATCAGGCGGGCATCGCTTATGTCCTTTAGGAAGTGGCAGTTTTCGAGGCCCTTGACGCCGTGAGGATTGGTTACAGACCCAACTCCAATAACGAGCTTGTCGTAGGGCAGGTAAAAGCTCTGTTTCTCTCCCCTTGGCCCAATCGCAGACACCTCCACTAGCTTCTCCGAGAAGTCTACATCCTCAGCTTTCGCTTTTAAGAAATGCCCATGGACTCTCCGAACAATCCCCCTGACTGGCTCAACCAGTGATCTCAGCTCCAGCGTTCCAACTGTCGCTGACGGCAGCATCGGAGTGAAGAGGAAGTGATTGGACGGCGACACGACAGTAATATGGTAATCTCCAGGGTTCAATTGCTTCAGAATCGCAACACTCGCCCATCCAGTCCCGAGTATCACTAGCTTTGGCTTATGTTTTATCGCCTTGTTCTCCGCACAATCATCATCGTCGACAAAATAGTCCGCGATTGGCAGGTTCTTGGGTCCTCCTCTTCTCGGCTGCAAGGCTAGTTCTGAAACAGGTATATCCTCGAACGCCGGGTCCTCTTTATACGTGGAATAATCGTAGATGAAAAATGCGACTACCAAACCACCGCTGATAGCGACAAAGAAGCCAAACGCAGCCGCTGTTCGATAGCAGAATCGGATGAATCGCGACTTCGGGGATGGCAATGGCTTTGTGGAAACGAATCGTATTATCGGTGACTTGTGTTTATTCAATCGCGGGGCCTGTAGTGGTATAGAAGCACCTGGCCCATGGCGCTTCGCGAAGGTGGAGGGGCCTCCATTGCTGAAGGACGCACGGATCTGGGATCGTGAGACTTGAGGGAGCTTCGCGCGCATGAGCAACGCTCTTGAGGAGAAATTAGGAAGACGCGGTAGTGATCCGGCCTGCCGCAGAAGGGTCATGGTGACGAGTCGGAGGGTACGGGTTTAGGGTGTGCAGGATGGCGACAATAGTAGTCAATTGAGCGAAGGAATGCTTTTTCGTACTCACAATATCATGAAGAGTATATTAAAATGAGGGACTATAGGGTAGTGGGGGTGAAGAGGTGTAGGATGGTGAAATAACGCCGCGATGATTGTTTATTCCAGCCGCTACTGTGACGTATCTTGGCAATGGAGGTCCAAAGCTCGACTTGCCGTGATCGCCAGTTCGGAAAACTCAACACTATACGAGCCACACCGATGCATCTTAAATGCGTATCTAACGTCCGCATAATCCCATCTGGCTTGGTGACCACCTTCTTAGCCTTTCCGAACACTCAAGCCTGCAGAACAGCTCTGATCGCTCGTGACCCTCTCCCCCTGCCGAGTCGCTTGTTCTCATAACCCGCGAATGGCATATTCTACATTCGCATGCAGAATTACATAATAATGTTAGACAAACTTGATGCGATACTAGTACTCGGTGGTAATACAAGCCTCATCTATGCCAAAGTCCAGCGTCTAGCCTATATTTCCCATATATACGCGTATGCATACCTTCAAGGACTAACATGACCAAACTCCAATCATGCCATTTTTGCGGCCTTCCACCATGTAACCATCCTTAATCCGTACGCGTTCGATGGTAGAAAGGGCCGTGGCGTCGTCGTCTACCCCGACGCCAGGCCCGCAGTTCCAATGTCGGCCGTCAGTTTTGTCGTACACTTTCACTACGTCTTCGCCGGCCGCCGAAACAATGCGGCGAGCGTCGAACATCATGCTGGACACGGCGTTGTCATAGGCGTAGGCATCGTAAATGGAACCAGTCCGCAGGTCCCATATCTAGAAACGTTAGTAAATGCTGCAAATATTCTGCTCGGGCAGAACTCACTCGAATGCTCCTGTCCATGCTCCCGGTCACCAAATGGACATCATCGAACTGTAGGGCTGTAACTGGACCTGTGTGCCCGACCAGGCTTCGATGCACTTGGCCGCTTCGCAAATCCCAAAGACGTACCATTCCGTCTGCAGTGCCGCATGCTAAAGCTGCATCAAAGACCTGGATTGCACCGACAAAATCAGCCGAGGCATCTGAAACGCGCCCTGTTTGTCGCCACTGGCCGTTGTTCGTATTTAGGGATGCAGTCGTCTGTGCTGCTGCCCAGAGGACATCAAGCGTCTGCACACATCTTCCCTTGACCAGATCCCACTGTCGCAAAGTCTTATCCGCGGAGCCAGAGACCAAGGTGTCGCCTCTGAAATGCAATGCGGTGACCTCATCGACATGAGATTCGAGTGAGAATAGGGGGCAGTCCTGCATGATTGTCGGAGGTGGGGGTGGAGGGGCATCCTCCGCGTTTTCAAAAGTCAAGCCATCGTCTTCCTCCTCTTCTCCATCTTTATTTATGCGGTTGTCCAATGGGGCGTATTCGGCCTTGCTAAGATCCCATAACCGAATAGAGGCGTCCATAGACCCAGTGGCCACGATATTTTCATCAACCTGGAGGCAGCGTACGGATGAGAGATGGCCTTCAAGAAGGCCTATGCAGCGCCCAGCACTTAAGTCCCACACCCTTACAGTGTCGTCTAGTGCTGCGGTTACCAGCGTGCCCCATGGCGCATCAAAATCCAATGCCGTGATAACATCGTTGTGAGCTTGGATCTCTTTAATCTTCGACCCTGGCTCCAAGTGCTCATGGAGGATAGGCATGGATTTGCGTCGCATTACCCGTTTGCGTTTAGACTTTGGGGAGGGTATCTTTTGGTATATAGACTCGGACATGAACTCAGTTGAGCCGTCTTCATTGCTCACAGTAGTGGACGTAGTAGGAGATTTCGGAGCGAGTGCAGCAGCGTCTTCGAGCTCCTCCTGCAGGTCTTCGATTTTGTTATCGACGTCCAGCAGCTCCTGTTCCAAGTCGGCTTCTTCGTACTCTAGGCCCGCTAACCTATCGAGCACGATTTTGCGCATTGTGTTTAAATTTGCAATCTTGTTGTCGATTTCATGAATTTCAGCCGCACACATGTGCTTTCTCACACCCATCATCTCCAGCCGATGGCTCAGGCTATGCTTTTGGCTCTTCAGCGAGACCATTGAAGGTGGCAGATTTGGGTCGTCTTCCTCGGCCGCCTCTCCCAGCAGCCTCTGGCCCCTAGAGTTGTGCTTCGCATGTTTCTTTTTCCGGCCATGCTCTTCAGGCAACGAGGCCTGGAACCCCTCGAACAGCGAGTAAGCGTTATTATCTTCGGGGATGTTGCTGAGAAGCTCGTCGGGAAGGAATGCCAGGGCTCGTTGTTGGATCTCGGGTATAGACATCCTCGACCGCACAAGCTCGCGTGGGGTGGTTTGAGCGAAGGAAAAGACGGATCGCTGCAGCATTGGACGTCGCAATTCTCGGTGGAGCTCTCCGAGGGCATTTTGGTAGTGCTGGCCGACGCCCTCCGCGCCTATGAGGTGTCCAGCGGTAGCTGTGACTTTTCGCCCAAAAGCTTGAATCTGGCGCGGCTGTGGGAAATTAGCTGTCTGGGCGAGGAATGAGACGCGGGGTAGTCACTCACATCAGGCAGGCCATCGATGATACTCGCATCGTCATCTGGCGGCGTCATGGGCCGCGGACTGGTCGACCTGCCACGCTGTGGCGAGCCATTGCGGCCATCGGAGGAGTCCATGGGAAAGCGGTGAAAGGAGAGAAGGAGCGAGGGACGCGGTCGCTTCAGATACTGCTGAACATCGTGACCGGAGGGGATATCAGGGCACAATGGCAGGTCTTCCTCAGACGGCTCAATGGAGAGCGGGACAAGTCGTGACGATGGGCGTTTGGTGTTGCATGCGACAAAGTCGGCAAGCTGCTTGTCACGGGCGCTCGGACGTCATCCCAACCCAGCCTGGAGTGCCGATCTTCGGGATTCTATATGTTTTGTTATAAGTTGCTCGAAGGCTATGCATTCCTTCCCTCCTCCTTCGATCGCCTCTCCGATCGGCGGGAAAAAAAAAAAGTAGATATTTGCTGGAGGCACAATGGACTCTGCCATTGACCTCTCGGACGCCTCCAAGGCATTGGATCTCTCCAACATTCGCTTCCAACTCATGTACGCTCAACTCAACCCTGTGAAAGAGTCTGAGGAACTTACTATAAGCAGACGGCTAGAAGACACAATCACTTTCCACTTGATTGAGCGCGTCCAGTTTCCTTTAAATCACACGATATACGTTCCCGGCGGCCTCCACATACCGGACAGCTCGCTGAGTCTTTTCGATTGGATGCTCCGCCAGCAAGAGCGTCTCCAGTCCCTTGTCCGCCGATACCAGTCTCCCGACGAATACCCCTTCTTTCCCGATGCCCTTCAGACGCCCATCCTGAAGCCTTTGCACTACCCTAAGATTCTGCATCCTAACAATGTCAACGTGAATGAGAAGCTGAAGAACAGCTACATTGAACATATCCTCCCTGCGGCCTGCTCACAGTACGGCCATGGGGACAGAGGGGAGCAGCAGGAGAACTATGGGTCCGCCGCTACATGTGACGTTGCCTGTCTGCAAGCTCTTTCCCGACGCATCCACTTCGGAAAGTTCGTTGCAGAAGCAAAGTTCCAGAAGGAAACAGAGCGATTCGTAAAGCTAATCAGAGCAGAGGACAGGCAGGGAATAGATGATGCAATCACGGATGCCAAGGTTGAAAAGAAAGTATTGGAGAGGTTAAGACTCAAGGCTAAGACGTATGGCACTGATCCAGAATCGAACGGCGACGGTAGCCCAGTCAAAATAAATGCTGATGCCGTTGTGGCTATGTATAAGGTGGGTCCAGAGCCGTCTCTCCAATCGATCGCATGCGTCTAATGCACAATCAGGACTGGGTCATTCCGCTCACAAAAGAAGTGGAAGTGGAATATCTCATGCAACGACTAGAAGGCACGGAGTGGGCATAGCAATTGAAACGCGAATCCGTATCTTTGGAAAGCCGACAGTCTCGGTTAAGTTCTCACCAGTTTAGAAGGAATTTTAATCCTAAGAGAGGCCATGTAGACACTTGCTCTAGATTGTATGGTGAACCCAGACGGACTCGGAATTCTCGGAATCGGTAGGGTCGGAGAAAGGCACAGTCCACTAAAGAAGACACATTTCAACGCTTGCGCAGCAAGTCATACGAATATTAGACCCTGAAACACATGCCCGTTTGAAAGATGCCCCCAACCGCCGAACCTGAAACGTGAAGTGGTCGTCACGTGATCTCGCTCTCCCTATATTACCAGCGCTAACCCCAACCTGCCATCAACAACAACCTCATCCAATATGAGCCTCATCAAACAGTGCCTCGATCTCGCGCAGAATCCCAAACATACGCGATGGATAGCGCCGCTGCTGTTGATTGCAGATACTCTACTCTCTGGCCTCGTCATTTGGAAAATACCATGTCCGTGCTTCTGGCTGAACAAGGGCAACACGTGGAGCTAACTGACAGCAGATACGGAGATTGACTGGAAAACGTACATGGAGCATATTGAGATTTATATGAAAGGAGAAATCGATTACAGGAAGATCGAGGGATCTACAGGACCTCTGGTGTATCCAGCCGCACATGTTCACATTTATCGCCTCCTCTACTCGCTCACGGATCATGGGCGCAACATCTCGACCGCGCAGATTATCTTCGGATTCGTGTATTTGCTTACGTTGGCGGTAGTCATGCAGTGCTACCGAGCAGCAAAGGTTTGAATTCTCAGACTTCAACTAGTGCCATCCTAATGTATGTCAGGTCCCACCATATGTCTTTCCGCTACTCATTTTATCAAAGCGCTTACACAGCATCTTTATGCTCCGCTTATTCAATGACTGCTTCGCAGTTTTGGGACTCTTTTCGGCCATATATGCCTATCAGAAAAACCAATGGCATCTCGGAACTCTCTTCTACACCACCGGGTTGAATGTCAAAATGAGTCTGCTGCTGCCCTTGCCTGCCATTGTGATTCTCGCACTCCAGTCTGTTGGGCCGCGGGAGATGATGACTCAGCTCATGATAGTTCTACAAGTCTCTGTAAGTTCTCCCATGGGTCGGAAATATCCCGTCTAACATGTACAGCTTGGCTATGGATATCCGTTCCGCATGCAGGCTCCATCGTATTTTTCAAGGGCATTCCAGCTGACTAGGGTTTTCCTCTACAAATGGACTGTCAATTGGAGGTTCGTAGATGAGTCTACCTTTCTCTCCAAGCCCTTTGCAATCGGCCTCCTCGCTGTCCATGTTGGACTACTCGCCCTGTTTGGACTCAACCGGTGGAACAAGCCGGCGCAGCGGCGCAGTCTCCGTGAATTTCTAATGCTTCTAAAGGATGAGCCACGGGACCAGGATCATATAGCGAAGAGAGTAACGCCGAGCTTTATTATGACCACCATGCTTACTGCAACTGCAATTGGCATGCTATGTGCCAGATCATTGCACTACCAATTCTATGCCTATATTGCGTGGACAACCCCGTTCCTATTATGGAGAGCTGGCTTCCACCCGATTATCCAGTACGCGCTCTGGGCGGCACAAGAGTGGGCATGGAACGTGTACCCCAGCACATCCGCGAGCTCGATGACGGTGGTCGGAGTTCTAGCCGTCACAGTATTTGGCGCATGGTGGGGGACGAGAGGCGAGTTCGACAGTGTCACAGCGAACGGCGGACCAACACACGAACACAACGAATAGCCAATCCTCACTCCTCATCCGATTCCACCGGCGGCATCTTCCCAACCGTCGACTCCTCCTCATCGCTATCCCCAGGGTACGCCGATTTCTTAGCGAATTCCTTAGGCCTATCTATGTATCAATACCAATGCATATTGCATCTGCATTTCCCCGCAGATCAACTCACCAGTAGCTCATCTTCCTCCATTGCTTTTCGTCTCTCACCACATTCACAATCTCGCCATCCAGCTTGTTATCTCGATCCGCAAGCCCCTTCATATCTATAACTACATAGCTTCCGCGTTTTATCCATATCGTGCTGCGAAACTTTGCTTCCAGCTCCACCAGCACCGGCTTTCCCGAAGGCAAGTCCGCACTGTAGAGGTTGTTCCCGGCAGCTTTTGTGACTCGAGCGATGGCTTGGCCTTCAGAGAGCGCATCCAAAGGTGTGAGCGTGTCTTCAACGGTTGCGAGGAGATTTCGTTTTGGGCGGGGCATTTTAGAGGTAGTGCGTTGAGTGAGTGGAAATATTTCTGCTCTGGGGCTCAACGATGAGGCGATGTTTGCCGAGACCAATCAGGGAACTCCCGCCGATTGTTGCCCTCCGCTAATGCCGGGCGAGCCTATTCCAGACCAACAACCTCACGCTAACCTTCAAGGCTATTGTTCGGATGCGTTTCCTCCTCCGGCTTCAAACGCACATACGCCACCTGAGCAAAAGTTCGTCAAACGAACCTCAAGTGGGCACAGCTTGCCGCAACCATTATCAGAGTTTGCCAGTTGAGTCCCATTTGTGTCAAACGTTATCAAGGAGCCCATTTGAATGGCTGAGAGAATGCATATTTGCTAAGAACTGGTCATGAGAATTAGACACTGCCGTCATATATCAGTCCCCGCACGTTAATCACATTATTCAGCAATGACTCTGACGATAGTGGAGTTTGCCAATTGGAGCTGTCACAACTTCCTCTTTTAAAGCCATCATTTTTCGTTTCTCTCTTCCCGCATTCTCATCATCAATGAAAACCTTACTTCGTCCCAAACCCCTTTAACTTGGACCAATTACAATGTCTGCAGCAATTGGCTTCTTCGACATCCAACCCGCCTCAGAAGCAAGTCCAGTCACCACCCCACCCGCTACTCATCAGAAACACTCAAGCCATACTCCCACAGCAATTGAACTCGATGAATTCTCATTCGGTAAAAGTTACAAGGGCCCAGTTGAATCCGGTGCCCAAACCCCGCGGGAGCTACTATCAGGTGTGCAGACTCCTATCGAGCCCATCGCGCCCCGAACCCCGAATGAGTTAGAGATGAGCAGGCCTCCATCGCCAAGGGGGGATGATGCGGTGGGGTTGATGCAGAGTTGGAAAAAACCCCCGATGAATACGTGGAGAGTCTTGAGCTGTTGTTTGATTTATTTCGGGAACGGGATTAATGACAGCGGTACGTTGAACCTCATGTCACGTAGCTGTACAATATTTAGGCTTTAGGATTGCTATTGACACATTCTAGCCCCCGGTGCTCTGATTCCGTATATGGAGGAATACTACCACATCAGTTATGCCATCATGTCCTTGATCTTCGTCGGCAACGCACTAGGCTTCATTCTTGCTGCCTTCTTTACCAACACGGTGTTGGGAAAGCTAGGACGAGCGAAGTCACTCATAGTCGCCGAAGTGATTATGCTGGCTGCATACATCATGCTCGTTACAGCACCGCCATATCCAGTTGTAGTCGTAGCGTAGGTCTCTTGGTCTACAAAGCCATGCAGCAACGGCTAACATCCATAGCTTCTTCCTCCTTGGGTGGGGTATGGCCATCAACCTCGCCTTAAACAACGTTTTCTGTGCAAACCTTCATCCTCCCACGGCAGTCCTCGGTGCCGCTCACGGCAGCTATGGCGTTGGCGGAATTGTCGCGCCAATCATCGCCACAGCCATTGTCTCTAAAGGCACTCTGTGGTCGCGGTTCTACATACTGTCCGTGGGCCTACGTCTCCTATGCATTCCATTTGCGGGTTGGGCATTCTGGTCCTACAAAGAGGACACTCCTCCTACCCTACTCTCTACCCTCGAACGAACCGCAAGTCGACAAGCGGCTAGCAAAGAACAAGAATCCAAACTCCGCAACCTAAAACTAGCTTTAAAAAACCGCGTCACGGTCTTTGGAGCTCTTTTCATTTTCGCGTACCAAGGCGCTGAAGTCTCCATTTCAGGATGGGTCATCTCCTTCTTGATCAAATACCGCGACGGCGATCCCGCAAGTGTCGGATACGTAACTGCTGGGTTCTGGGTAAGCCCGCTGCTCGTTCCATATACGCCCCTCTCTATCTCTATCTCCCTTCCCACCAGCAAGCACCAATCAGCACTGACACTCATCAGGGCGGCATAACAGTCGGCCGCTTCGTCCTCACGCACCTCGCGCCTAAAATCGGCGAAAAGAACTTCGTAGTCGGTCTCGTAATCGGCTCGATGGCCTTCCAACTCCTGGCCTGGCTAATCCCAAACATCGTCGGCAACGCCATGGCCGTCGCCATCCTCGGACTCTTCCTCGGCCCGGTGTATCCCTGTGCGCAAACAATATTCTCTAAACTCATGCCACGACATGTGCAAACCACTGCTATTGGATTCATTGCTGGAGCAGGCAGTTCGGGCGGTGCGGTGGCGCCGTTTACGACAGGGATTTTGGCGCAGGTGGTGGGCACGTGGGTGCTACATCCGGTTTGTATTGGGATGTATGTTGTTATGTTGGCTTGTTGGTTTGGGTTGCCGAAGGTAAGGAAGAGGACTGATTGATTCTGGGTTCCTGTTCAGATGTGGAAAGGAGTCGTCCGGCTTCCCTGCCGGCAGTCGTGTCGCGTCATCTGCTCTGGTCCACTTGAAATATCTTAGAAATTCACCACGGGATTATCATGATTTCTTTAGGAAAGGGTTGCTTGCCACGTTCTGTGGGTCACTGGTATACGAAGTTGAGGGTATGTTAATATGAAGATGGCGTGTTACGGCGATAATTCGAGTTTGGGGCAGGTCAAGAGGGTCTTACTTGGTAATATGGGTCACGGGGTTATGTTAATACCGGGAACGGACAAAATATGATCCCTTGATCAAGGAGTTAAGAAATGTTTGATAGTTGTAAAAACTGACCAATTATACAGATGTAGCATGTTTGAACAACACTCGAATTTCGCCCGTATCGTTGGAATAGTTCGCATAATTCCCGGGGTTCGCTTCGCACTATTTTGTGTCATTCGTACAGCGTATATTTCCAGTCTTTGTCAATCCATCCTCAAGAAACCACAGAGAAGCCCGAACCTAACCCTCAAACGATGATTCTACGTTAAGCTTCACATCACACCCAGTACCTAGTCAATTCAACCGCCCTAAGAACGTCCATTTTCGGCCGAGCTATGCAAAACGCTAAGTGTCACAAGCAATTCCCATTTTCGATCCACTCACATACCCCGCTATGTTGCACAAGGAGGTCGGGGGTAAGCGGGGATAATGTATTCCAAACTCCAAAACTACCCCTCCACCGAAATTCTTCGGACCCATGGCTCCTCTTTGTGAGAGAATTACCGGCGCGAGCCACCCCACTTCAAAGCTGTGGTGAGGAGCAGGGGCTGGGGAGTTTGTGGACCCTAGATTGAGGGACGTGGACGCCATGGTGTAGATATTTAAGAAGAGCTGGTTTCCCTATCTTCGACCCTTCAATTCAATCCAACTCTCTCTCATACACTACCAAACCTCTACCCTAGCTTCAAAAGTTATCCTGTCAAAATCTTCTCACCTCTACGTTTCCCACTCAAACCCACCTTAATCTACCCCAATCCAATCCAAACCCCAACTCCAATCCCAACCCTACCTCCCTAACCGTCCAAAATGCCACCCTTTGGCAATCCTCCCAAGCCAGCATCCCTCCTCGATTTCCATCGTGTCCTAGCACCCAGCGCGGGCGTGCGCGTATCGCCGCTATGTCTAGGCGCCATGAATTTCGGGGATGCGTGGGAGGATGTTATGGGCAAGTGTGATAAGAAAACAAGTTTTGAGATGATGGATTATTTTTATGAAATGGGTGGGAATTTCATTGATACGTGAGTACATTATATCTTTGTTCTTTTTTCATAATGGACAAAGCCCAAATTAGAGCTTGTGGGAGCTTGTGGGAGCTCTAGTTGGGAGACCTGGGGGAACTTGCAAACCCCACATTGGCTAGCCCCACATGTTGGAAGACATCCTCAAGCTTTGAGCTCATGGCTGTTGAATAGGAAGTTATTTAATGCAGATCTAACATTGTTACAGCTCGAACAACTACCAAAATGAAGAATCTGAGCTCTGGATCGGAGAATGGATGGCAGCACGCAAAAACCGTGACGAAATCGTCTTAGCCACCAAGTTCACCACCGTAAGTCCTCCTCCAAGCCCTCACCCCAAACTATTCTACCCTCAGCCCCAACCCCAGCCCTAACGAAGCTCTGACAATCCTCATCCCACGATTAGTGCTATCCAGATCCTCGCAACCCGCCACGCCAAAAAATCAATTTCGCTGGCAATCACACCAAATCCCTACATGTCTCGCTCGAAGCCTCGCTTAAGAAACTACAAACCGATTATATCGACCTCCTCTATGTCCACTGGTGGGACTTCACAACAGGGGTGGCGGAGGTGATGCAGAGTTTGAATCATATGGTTCAGCGAGGGAAGGTTTTGTATCTAGGAGTTAGTGACACGCCGGCTTGGGTTGTGAGTAAGGCTAATGAGTGTATGCATCCCTCGCCCCCTTACACACTCTCACCCCTCTGTCTCCGTCGCTTTAAAATCAGGGGTTTAGCCAGAAGGAGAAACATTGCGTTATACTAACAACTCTCCTAGACGCCCGCCAAAATGGCCTCCGCCCCTTTAGTGTATACCAAGGCCGCTGGTCCGCCGCCGAACGCGACTTCGAGCGCGAAATCCTACCCATGGCGACCTCTGAAGGTATGGCGCTCGCTCCCTGGGGTTCCCTCGGCGGCGGCAACTTCAAAACCGCCGAACAGCGCAAATCGTCCGAAGGCCGCAACATGGCGCCCCCATCTGAAAAACAGCTCAAGCTGTCCGTCAAGCTCGAGGAAATCGCGAAGAAGAAAAACACGCTGTTGACGAGCGTCGCTATGGCATATGTGATGCATAAGGCACCATATGTGTTTCCAATTGTGGGTGGCAGGAAGGTGGAGCATTTGAAGGGGAATATCGAGGCTTTGGGGTTGGAGTTGAGTGATGAGGAGGTGGATGAGATTGATAAGGAGAGTGGGTTTGAGATTGGGTTCCCGATGAACTTCCTCTTTGAGTGGATGGGTGCGAAGTATAGCACGAGGCAGACTAGCTCGGATATCGGGTTGTTGCAGTTTGCTGGGAAGTTGGACAGCGTGCAGAATGCCAGGCCGATTAAGCCGCATGGAATGTAGGCAGATGGAAGATTGATGGACTGGGGGAAGAGGGGGGTAGATATACGAACTCGTGATGTACCTGGAGAGGATTATGACTTCGTTTGAGTGATATTGCACATTGCATGTGACGGGGCAGGTATACTTATCATAGGGCGTGCCCAAGGCCCCTCAGAAATACAACCTCATGTGCATTTCATTCAATATCATTCACCCGAGGGATTGAGATTAACTTATATAGCTTGTGTACCGCCCAGGCCAATCGCCAAAAGTCAACAGCATGATGACATCAACAATTCTAGGTGCAGACATCATTGTCGATCCACTCTTCAGGAGTATCTCCATTGCCCGTAGACTCCATCATCGTACCAACCCTCCCGTGCAACCCCACACGCTAGGGGTCTTTGACATTAAGATTTCTTTTTCTTCTTTTTCTTCTTATTCTTATTCTTTCGCTTTATCGGTTGTCTATCCATGACCTCAATCTCCTTTTCTGGATCGCCCAGCTTGATATGGCCGTACCTCTTCCTGATCTCATCTTCAAACTCATCTTTCTCCAGCCGGTATAACGCCATAGTTGCCCTCGCGTCTTCCACCGAACTATGATGTCCAACCTGAATTTCGACGCCCAACAACTTCTCTACCAAATATTTTAAGCCCGGTGTCCGTCCTGGTATCGCCGCTACCTCCCTGAACTTGCTGAACTTAGAGGTATCTCTAATATGGGGTTTCGGGTGACTGAGGATGAGAGCGGCCAGATCGTTTTTCACGGCATGACCAACAAGGATGCGGCCCTGGAGCAGGATCTTGATATCATCCTGAACCTCTTTGAAGGGTCGCGCAACGTTGTGTCGCAGGTGCTTGGGCTCGATCCCAGATACGAAGGTGCGGTAATCGGTTACGGGGACTTTAACCTGGACGTAGGAATCGTAGACTTGGTGGCCATGATAGTTTACGACGCTGACTCGAGCGAGGGCCGAGTCGCGGTCCGGTTCTGGACCAGTGCCGACCATTTCACAGTCCAGAGCTATGTATTTGCCGGGTAAGGCAGTGTGCGACACGCCCTCGTTCTCGATGTCAGGGTTGTGAGGGGAGGGTGCTAGGATGGATATAGAGGTGGTGGCGGATTTGGGATCGGTCAGGGGTGTAGGCAGGGGTGTAGGCTGGCGGAGAGACGGCATCGAGATGCTAGGACGGAGTGCCTTAGGGCCCGCATGTTTAGTAGCGGATCCGATAGAGTGCGGTTCCTCCATCTTTTGGCGTTTGCGGGATGGGAGATGTTTGTGTGGGAGGGGTTTTCCTAAACCGTTTAAGGATGCTAATGGCAACGGCGGCTTATGCCCTCCATTGAATTTGCCAGCTCTTTTGCGCTTCAGGGGGCTGTTCCTCTCTTGTCCCTCAGCTTTTAAGGGTTGGAGTTTCGAGGATATGGGGTTGGAGGATTGAAGAGTCTTTTGAAGTTTCTTCCAATTGCTAGAGACGTCCTTGAGCTCGACTGGAGCCATAGTTCTGTCATCGGTCTCGCATGACGGTACCAGGGGTCGTTTCCTATTATCAGTGTATCGGTGAAAGGCGGTATGGTGGTCGGTTTGCAATCGCGTTCACATGCGGCCGTAACATTGGAAAAGGTTCTCTGGTCCGTGCTAGATCTTATCTAATCTTATCACGTGATGATATCACGGCAATGAGCACCTAACTTCGCCATCGCGAAGGCGGCAGAGGGACTCCAACATTCACGACAACAACAACCCACAACGCGATCTTTTATCTCTGAAAATTTGTGAAGCAGCTCAGGACGGTTATGGCTCCTCGGGAAAATTCTAATGAGCCCGGCGGCACGCCAGTGCCAGTCGAAACAGGTTTTGCCACTCTGGCGACCCTGAGGTATGTGCGATGTTGTTTTCGCGACTTTGGAGATGAATGCTGATGGTTGTTATGTAGGATCGGGGTGAAAGCTTTCGTTGAGAAGGTGAGGCTTGTGGCGACTGCGATCACTGAGGTGCTTGGCTTGGGTGTGCCAGCGCCAACCCTGCGTCTCCTGCACCATTCTTTTGCACTGCATATATCATCTGTCAAGCCAAGTTGCGCTCTATTCTATTTTTGTAGTAGCTTTGCATTCCTAGTAGTCTTATATTCATATTCTGTCATATCTACATCTTTTTGTCCCTCCGCATTCACAGTCATACCACACTCTAACATGTTTCTAGGACGGTGAGACTCGCAAAGCAGAAATTCTATCCATCCAGACGCGTCGTGGAAAGCCAACCTTCTACGTCCATTATGAAGAGTTCAACAAACGTCTCGACGAGTGGATTGCGGCAGACCGCATCGACCTCTCGCGAGAAGTGGAATGGCCCGTCCCAGAGAAACCAGAAAAGAAGAAGACTGCGACCACTCAGAAGTCCCAAGCTCCGTCAAAGTCAGACCAAAAGAATCTGAAGAGGTCGCGGAGTAAGCTGGACAAAGAGCTTTCGGCAACCCCAGAAGCAACAAACATCAACCTACCTGGAAAGGCGCCACGCGCGACCAAAGCAAGTGGAAAAGAGAACAAGGAGTTATTGGTGACAAGTGAGATTACTGATGGCTTAACCCCAAGACCTGATGATGAGGAGGACCTCGTAGACGTCCAAGATGCAGCAGCCGCAGCCAAAGGAGCACCCGCAGAACACTACTCGCGTGAGGATGAAATCGAGAAACTTCGAACATCAGGATCTATGACGCAAAATCAGACAGAGATCTCTCGAGTGCGTAACTTGGAGAAGATTCAAATGGGAAAATTCGAGGTCGAACCCTGGTACTTCTCGCCTTACCCCATTGATTTTGTAGATTCGGAAATGGTCTACATCTGCGAGTTCTGTCTCTCCTACTACCCCGAAGTGACGGAATTCGAGCGGCACCGTGCAAAGTGCAATCTACTCCATCCACCTGGCAACGAAATCTACCGCGATGACTACGTCTCCTTCTTCGAAATCGACGGAAGGCGCCAAAGAACTTGGTGCCGCAACCTCTGCCTCCTCTCCAAACTCTTCCTTGACCACAAGACCCTCTATTACGACGTCGATCCTTTTCTCTTTTATTGCATGTGCACGCGCGACGAACACGGTTGCCACCTTGTAGGTTACTTCTCCAAAGAAAAAGAATCAGCTGAAGGCTACAATGTGGCTTGCATTCTCACCCTCCCGCAATACCAGCGCAAAGGCTTTGGTAAACTCCTCATCGACTTCTCTTACCTCCTCTCCAAACGCGAGGGCAAACTCGGCTCGCCTGAAAAACCCCTATCCGATCTCGGGCTCCTGGGTTACCGTGCCTACTGGCAAGAGATCATCGTCGACTTGCTCATTGACGGTAGGGTGGAAGCGAATATCGAAGACATTGGAGCCGCGACCGCGATGACGACGAACGATGTGTTGCATACGCTGCAGAATCTGAATATGCTGAGGTACAACAAGAACCAGCATGTCATTGTATTGACGGACGCGGTCATTGCGCAGAGGGAAAAGCAGAAGGCCAAGGAAAAAATTAAGGGGAAGAGAACCATTGATCCAGAACGATTGAACTGGAAACCGCCAGTCTTCTCGGCGGCATCAAGGACGTGGAATTGGTGAGGTTTATTATGCGGCTACGGTGCTTTCTGGAGTAAGGGAATTGGTATGCAAAGCGTGGCGTTGGTGGTTTGTATCATTATACCTCGGTTAGTGAGCGTTCTCCACGGTGATTTAGTCTCTCTAAGTTGAGAGCTAAAGGATTTGCCCCGGACGTTTATGGGTGCAGACCAATATGTTTCCGTATTAATCGGGCCCAAGGCTTCTTCCAAGACTCCTTCCTCTTTATACGTAAGGACACGCACAGCCCATCCGGCTGGCTTGCCGACCTGTTGAGCTGTAGATAAATAGGCAACGTTTTCGCTTCTCTCAGCTCTCTAAATCCCCCTCAGTAACACTGCTAGGTTGTTGCAAATTCTTTCGGACCTCGTCAATTACACACCCTAGACAGCACAGCCTTGCTACATTACTGTACGAAGCCCAAGATGGAAGCTCTGTAATTACAGGAGCATTTCACTCGCCAGGATGACACCTTACAAAAACAATAGGCTTGATGTGAGATCACGATGAGCCAGAACCTAGAGCGCAGAAACGGGACCACACGGTAGAATATAGACGTAAGGAAATTCAAGGGTTCGACGAAGGCTATATATGTATTTTATATCGTAAAGAATAAACTCCCACCGCCGGATTTGTTCCCCACCTTCTATCTCGGCGTCATGTACCAAATGTATCCAAAACAGTTATCCGAGGTCCATTGTCAACTGTCATTCCTTGAACCAAATGATTACCTGTAGCCTTGTGTGGATATGGGTGATGGGAGAAGTAATGTATTGTGGACTAAGGGTCCGAGGTGCTATGGGATATATATGGTATTGTGGGCGGCTTATTGTAAACCCCCCGGACTCGCATTACCAGTCTCCCGTTATCCATTTCTATCAAAACCTTTAAGGCACATTTGCGATTTTTAGCTGAAATCCAAGAACGGTATGCCGATTATAACTATGTCGACCGTGTTGATAGCAAAACTTGACACGGATTAGATAATTTGCCAACGACTAACTAGAATAGATAGAAATTGCTTACTACGAGGAAGGACGAAAAGTTTGAAAATGACGCAGAGAATCGGTATCAGGAACATGGCAATAATCCCAACGAGCGCAAGGATGCTTTCCGTGGACAAAGTTCCCCCTTCGTTAGGATGAGGTTGCACGGATCGAATAGCTGCCATAATACCAAAACTGAGTAAATATAGAGAAGACGGTCTCAACCTGAAGTGCGGGCAAAATACGGTAAAAAGTGAATCAATTTCTTGGTACTCCGACCGAGTTGGGAGGATAACGAAGCTTTAAAGAGAATGGTGGTGACTAGTGGAACGGGATGTACTTAAGTACAATTATTTGATGAGTAGCCCGTTGGCTGTGCACATAACACTTTTGGCAACCGGCATAGCAATCGGTGTTCCCTCGACCGGCATTACTTTTATGGGAGATCATTGGTCTCCTTTGCTAACAGAGCCGCACAGTAAGCTTCGCGGTATCTGTGCACTGGCTGCAGAGGTCGTGTCAAAGCACATACTGGTAGCTAGATCCCTGATTTTGATTGGCTCGCTAAACGGCGGCTCGGGCTATTCCACTTACAGAACCGGCATCACTGGATGTGAGGGAAAGTTCATCTCAAGTTCAGGAAATATTGATTCATTCTCGAATCCAGCACACATACAACGTACTTTGCCTATTTCCTAAAGCCAAGATGGAAGAGTTTGGGGATAAATTCCCATATGATGAAGTTTCAGTAGAGGTCGGACATGACGTACGTGCTCTTTCTCTTTTTCGCCTGGCGTAGGCAATTTCGGTGGTCCGCAATCGTGCGGAGAAGGCAACCGGAAGGCACCAGGCAACTTTGAGTGCACAACGGACTCGAGAATGATCCAATAGTGCCCGAAGTCGCCTCCATTTCGTTCGTTTCGCTTCTGCTTCGAGGATGAAATAGCTGAGATCGATCTTCACAGGCATTAGGCGCTTACTCGAGTTTTCACGCCTTCGGGTGGCAAGACGCTCTTCAGATTGCACCAGCAAACGACAACAGCAGGCAACCAAACACGATTCATATTGGGCATAGTAGCACCACAGCCAACAACGACTGTGATATTTTTGAGTTCTTTGACTTCCAGAATGCCGCTTTAGATCCAGACAGCCCTCAGCCTCCGCTTTCCGAACCACAATTGACGAGCGCGACAACTCCTGTGACTTTGTGCTTAAAGGACTTGAATACGACTCTTCAAATTCCCAATGAAACCGCCACGCCTCCGCCTCAGAACGCAATGCTCAATGTTTCCGAAGGTGACAGATGGTCCCATCTTGAAAAATCAACGATACCAGTGCCGCCTCCGGGCTATTACGGGCCGATTGAGCGTATTGTTAGTAGGATGCTATTCATAGCATTTCTGCGTTTGCTTTGGAACGAACTAACACATCTATCAGGCAATACACGCTCAATTCTATCCGATTGATACTCTCAATACGATTCCAAATAACAGTGGCACTACGCAGCCGTCAAACAATAAGAAAAGGGCCTTAGAAGAGGACATTCCGGGAGTTTCCTGCTTCGACTCAGGCACTGTATCAAATTCAACGAAGAAGCGGAAAAAGCCAACCGCTGAGCAACGTGACGGTGCGAGAAGAGTGCGTGCACAAGGAGCATGCCTTCGGTGTTATGTTCAAAAGCTGAAGGTAGGCACAAATACCTGTCTCAAAACTCACTCCTAATATCGTATCGTGATAGTGCTCAGAAGGTCGCCCGTGTGAGATGTGTCAAGCGCTGTTCAATAAGGCGTACGGATCCAAAACGCTTCAATGGACTGTCTGCATAAGCTCAAATCTACCTGATATCAACATTTTCACTCTTGGTAAAGTTTATTTCTTAAACTTAACGACCACCGCTAACTTATTTCAGGGATATCGCTTTCTAACGATGGTCGCGTTCCCACTACGAATGGGGGCGATTTCCCACAAAAGCTCGATGTGAACATTGCATTATCTTTGTACAAGCTCTTATTTGACCTCGGATATTCTTCTGACATAATACTCTATTTCGATTCTCTCTACACTGAGGTCCTGCGATATACTTACGGCCACCGAGCTCCTGAAGTCCACCCGTTCATTCTTAAAGAACGGAACCCCCTCTACATGCTCATCCGGCTCAACGTCATCTTACTTGGAAGTCCCATTATCGGGCATAAATTGATTGGATATGTTCGATACCTCCAAAAGCTACGAGCGATTTGTGGAGTACTAGCCTTTGAATGTCTGGGGAAAGCCCTCGATCGGACTACACTGGCAGCGTCCAACCCGAACCGGAAATTAGCTCTGATCGTCCAAGCTGCGCTGCTTCTAGACCAAGTGGTAGAAATGAACGGAAAACTTCCGGCAGCCCTAGTTTGCTTCGCTCAAGGCAAGATTTATGAGGATATGCACCGACACCTAATCCAGTACATCTCTCACTACCTCCAGAAACTAATTTCTGGTGTGTTTGGGAAACGTTGTGGAATCCTCACTGGCCTTCAGGAAACCAAATGCGGAGAGTTCTTGGGCGAAGCTTTCTGGGATATGTTGTCGGACTTGATACCATCTGTGCCTCTCCGGAAGCCGCCAAAGCTCCGAAAGTATGCGGATATGGGTTGGAACACATACGATATTGGAGTAGGACAGTATTACCACAAAATGTTCTCCCTCCAGTGCTCCCTTTCCTGTAACTGAATAGCTGGGTCCCATAAATGTATGGAGTTTCAATGGATCATAATAGTATTTATTTATTTATTCCTCATTTGATTTCTTCGTTCTGGTGGGGTTTTGTCAAAGGTCTGCAAACTTGGTTTGAAAGCAGGAAAATTGTCAGATTACCCAATACTTTTGAAGATGTATAAACCTATAGAGGTTATATTTATATAAAATTTCTAGTGTTTTAGATCAAGTACGGTCTCACGAAGTGTAGTATTTAGTTTACTAGTTGTTTGCGTTTTGTTACAACCACTAATCGACAAGGCATAGTCTTAATGAGCTTCCGTATAAGCGGACTAGGCAGCTTCCTCTAAGCCTTATTTACAGCAGCCTTTAGAGTGTCCTAGTTACTTTCTGCGTTACCTATCCTCTTAAGCTCAGAATGGAGCTTATGTACCTACTTTTTAAGCCGCCCCCAGAGGGACTCCATGGGATTAAGGTTGGGTGGGTAGGGAATCTGTCTAAGCATATGGATCCCGTAACTCTCAAGGTAGGTTTTAATGCAGTTGCTATAAAAGATCGGCGCGCTGTTCTGTCCAAAGATATCCTACGCTGGTACTAAGGCAATAGTCCTTTGTTCAGCATCTAAGTGTAGTTGTTGCATAAATAACTATGCTTCTTCCACTTAAAGCCCCTCTCTATGATAATCAATAGACTTCCGTCTCCCCTTGATGCTTAGGGTTACCGAGATAGCCCCTACACTATCTAGCTTATTTGTTTACCTTTTTCTTTCTCTACAATCATATCAGGATTGTACTTTTAGTATGGTAAACTAAAACACTACCCTGCCTGCCGTCTCGCTTCTCTCTGCACTAAGCACTTGTTAGAAAACTTAACAGCTTGCCTACGCTAGTTCAAGTAAAACGTAGAGTAACGTGTATCCCTGCGTAGCGAGATATCCTCTGCGCCGAGAGGTACTTTGACTTTCAGCAACTAGAAAGGCCATGCGCACAACGAATATTGCTATAATTCTGTGACAATAGTTTGCTGTAGCTAATCCTGAATGTCCATGGTCCACTCTTCCCTAAAAATTACGTTCGAATCGTCGCCTCTGAGCCTAATTTGTACGGCGCTGACTTTCGTGGCGAAATAAATAGACTTCCCTCCCCACACCGCCAACATCAAGCTTTTTGTGCCCTGAATTTTTGTGAAACGGCCTGGTCCTAGCCTTACGACTTTCTTCTAATACTAGGAAGTCATTATCAGCCCTATGTGCGCTGCGGGGCTCAACTTCATGCAGGGGCGCCATGTTGATTGGTACTTCCAGCGGAAACGAAGCACCGGCTGATGCGATGTGACTCCTCACAGCCTATCTTATACACCCGCGGGTATTTTATTGTAAGATATGTGGCTGTGCGGATTGCACAAGCGGTCGGAATCCGGCTCAGGATTGAGAGTAGTGTTAAGACTCAAAGGGCTCGGCGCTCATTTAGTCAGCCAACGTGTCTCAGCGTCTCAACCGCTCGAGATGCGGTCCAACACACAGCGATACATACTTTTGTAACGTAGAAACTTACCATCACGTCGTCCTCGAGCGCCGAAATCCACCGAAATCCGCTCCGCTGACCAAAGGAAAGACCTTCTCAAGCCACCATGTCCTCATGCTTTTCGAGCCCATCAGCGTCTGATTCCTAGACCAAGCAGCAGCCGGGATCTAGTCTCGGTTTGTTGAAGGGGAACACAATGAGATAGGAAGGGTATAAGATAAAATAGAGTGCGGCCGCCCTGGAAATTGAACAGTGTGCTTTGATAAGTAGGTTGAGCGTCATTGGGGGAACTCCTTTGCAGGCGCATGCGAAGGTGGAAAGGCTCGATATGTTTTGGTAATACAGCTGTCGTATGGTCAAACAACGAACGGCTCCTTGCATGAGCACTGAAATCTTTTGGGTTGTAGAGATGTGCTCCAGTTCGACCTCTGAGGGCCATGAAGAGTTTTGTATCGCTCATGTTCGTGAGCAATGAGTACTAGCAGAGCTGTGACGGTGGCTATGCTTAGCACAGCACTAGGCTATCTAGGGCTGCATGTCGTCTTCTGTCACTGGAAATATCTCTTGCAATACCATCCATTCCACACGATCATAGCTCGAGCGGGTCGGCCGCCCTCCCTGCATATGGTAGCAATATTTGGTTCCACACGCTTTATATTACTGCACCATCCCTTATATTCATGCTTACACACAATTCTACCTATCCTACATTTGCGCTAGCCTAGTATTCTACATCTAAAGCAGCATTAATTCCTCAATTCCATATTCTCCAGTTGCAACTCGGTCAAGGCTTCAAATGACAACTCCGTATCAAGATGCAGACGGCCAAGGACCTGTGGCCATACTCTGGCCTGAGGGATATCCGACGCGAAGACGCTGGACGACGATGACGAGGGAGCATGGGCTTGCTCCGTGCTTGTTAGGTGGGACGCGGCCCCTCGCCGCTGGAACTACGACTTGGCGCTTCTGTGCTTCTTGGTCGCATCGCTGCGGCGCTCGCTGGTCCCGATGGGCGTGGCTTCCCAGGTCCCTCGAGGATGGCCGCGAAGGCTGTAGACGAATATGATGCTGAGGGCAGTCAGCAAGCGCACTGAAATGTAGATAGCATTGTATGTATAAATTCAAGCTAAACTAGTCAGCGCCCGTGTCTCCACCCTGTAGCCTTGTGAAGTTATGGTGGGTGGACAGTTGTCATATGTGCCGCGGGTCTGGGAGATTATCGCCTCGTTTCACGTAGAAGGAGCGCGCGATTTGTAGACTTCGCAGCGTGCGGGCGCCGCAGAGAAGAAGAATAGAAGAGGGCATGTCGCAGGGGCAGCGGAGTGGAGAGAGGGCAGCTCAACCTCAGCGTTGTGTAGGCTGATGGGCACAGGGTGGGGGTGGACCCTGGCGCCTGCGGATCGTCGCGCACAGGGCCTGTCTGCAAAGTTTCAAGACCCATATCCAGTTCCTTCCCTAAAAGTACAAGATATAACGCGACAAGGGAAAATATATCTTTGGGCCGGTCTGGCAAGCAGGGCGGAAAGGCGCAATTTCTGATAGAGGTCAGGCGTGGCTGCTAATTATCATGGGTGCGGCCTGTTGCACCGCTCGGGAACACTGGCAGAACTACCAACTACGCAACCTTTTGCTGTGGACCAGCTGCCTTACGCTCAAAATTACCAAGCACAGCCTGCAGATATGTGGATAGATGAGACGTCAACAATTTTTTGCTGGCGAAATAGTACTTTTGCAATGGGCGCTAAGCCCCGGCTGCCATCGCATGCGGGCTAAGCCGCACTGGGCGAATTGTCGAGTTTTGTGCTCATCGAATCAGCTTCCTCCAGCCTGCTCTGCTCTTTGTGCCATTTGGCTCTAGTTAACTATATCTTTCCATACCACCCCCGAGGGAAATCAAATCATTGCTCCGTTCCTTATTCTCTTCTTCCTCACAAGCAGTCTTCCTCGCAAGCAGGAGCATTTGCTCTCTCTCAAGTCTTCGACCACTGAGGCAGCCTTACTGCCTAACACGGCTTAGCCATTAAGAAGCTTACTATGGATCCCCCAAGCACCAATCTGCCCGTTTTGCGGTAAACCGATCTTTCATATCCCGTACAGAGTCACTACGTCGCACACCATGCTTACGAGCCTTACGGTATGCACAGGCCGCTCGACTTAGTTTTCCAGATGCAACCTCAAGGTGGGCATTTGATGACTAGCCAAAGCTACTTACCGCACTCGTTCGACCCGTCTCCAGCACTTCGCATTCCTGCGCCGCAAACTTCGGGGCTTTTTAATGATGCCCGAACCACGCCCGCGATTCCTGTGGGTCCGCCAACCCGGCCACGAAAGAGGAAGGTTCCGACACTGCGAGATGACGCTTGGGAGCCGTACAAGGCCCGAATAATCGATCTCCACATTAGGCAAGATTTCCCGCTAAGGAGAGTTAAAAAGGAGATTGAGCAAGATTTTGGCTTTACTGCTGAGTAGGTCTCTTAAGTAATTCAAAGCTTATTTCTAATGTACTTACATAAGCATGCTTATAGGCTACGGCAATATCGTACACGCATTACGAAATGGGGGAAGGACAAGAATATCAAAACAGAGGAAATGGAAGCAATTGTTAGAAAACAACAACAAAGGAAACTTCTCGAGGTTGATAAACGTGAGCTGGAGTTTACGGTTAGGGGCAGTAGAGTGAAACCACAGAAGATTGACCGGTGGATGAAGCGTAATAGCGTGACTAAAAACTCCTTATATGCCCCAAGTCCAGCAACATGTAAGTCAGGATTGTTATTGTCTGCTTCCAACACTTACACATTGCAGCTACACCTTCTGCTGTGGACTGCCGAACCATCTCTGAACGTGGCTCTCCAGTTCCGAGTCCTGCATATTCGCCAGCGGCTCTAAACGCGTCGCCAGGAGGCGCCATGTCGGCTGCTCAGAGTCCCGCGATGGTCTCTCCAGCCCTCTCTGTAGCGAGCATAGTCTGGCCTCGGAACAGCAACTTTGCTGGACAAAGTCCGGCTCCCACCTATCAGCCACTCCCAAATTCTATTATTAGCTCCGTACCTACGCAAAGCGTCTTACGGGGCCAAGTAGATATTGCAACAGGTCCTCTACAGCGTCGGTACAAACAAACGGACGAAGAGGGTCTGCAAGAAGCACTATCACAGGCAGAGACTTGGTTCGGGATTGGCCATCCTGAGACCTTCAGCATATTATTCAAATTAGGAGATGTGCTTATTGTTCAGGGAAGATACAAGTCTGCAGAGAAATTGATCCGCAGGTTAGTGGAAGGCCACCGAACTGTGAATGGCAATAATGACAATAATACGCTTGATGCCTTGGAGCTTCTTGGGCGAGTTTTAGAATGTCAAGGACTCTATGCCAAGGCAGAGAAATTGCTCCAGCACACATTTAAAGCCAGAAAGATGGTGCTTGGGGAGGAGCATCCAGGCACGCTGACCAGCATGGCCAACCTGGCGTCAACGTACAGGAATCAAGGCCGGTGGAAGGAGGCCGAAGAGCTGGAGGTGCAAGTGA